GATTTGGTTAAGATACGTGGACGATCCCTGCTTAAAATACCCAATAGACACCCTGTTCAAACCGATAGATATTTGTATCGGAATGTATGTTTCTATATGGTGTATCGGTATGTATAGGACTCATAGTTGGGATTTATGGTTGTTCTATAGGGATATCCACCCTTGATTTATTTGCTATTGGTTTCAATGGGGAAAATACACATAAATGTAGAAAGTAGTTTTATTCCCCATAGGACCACATAGGTTTAAAAAAAAAATTGTCAAATGTTTTATGGTTGTTCTATAGGGATAACCCTATATATCCTTCATTGAGTTATTTGCTATGGGTCTCAATAGGGAAAATGTAGAAGTTATGGTGTGCCTATAGGTAATTTCCTATACATTTTCTATCGGGCCGTATCCGGAAAAAACCATGGACAAATGCACATATTGAATCCGGTAGCGCCCGATAGACTATTTTATATAGGTCTCTATGGGGTATTTTAAGCCGGGATATCTTTGCTATTTTCAATCGAAACGCTTGCAGCTTAGATGATTTTGTTTCCAAGTTAAATAATTGTATTAATAAAAATCAAGTTTATGACTATTTCTTTCGTACCCCAGTACACCCGAAGTCTGGAAGGGATTTTTCTAAAATTGCTTTTAGTTCAAGCAATAACACACTTCAGACCCTTTAACACGTTCGCTGCTGACGGCGTCTAAAGACGGCCACCGCTTCTTAAGTGGGAGGCGAACGGCGCCTTTTGACGTCCACTAAAATATCGCTTATTATCCTTTAGTAATCCTTTAGACATAGACGTCTTCCGCCTCTGGATAAATTTTTTTAGCAGGTGGCTGACGACGTCTTAAGACGTCCTAGCCCTGAGTTTTTTTTATAAAATAAATGTGTTTTAAACTTTTCTTGTTTTCAAACTGTTTAATATTTCCCAAACTATTTCAGTTTCTGGGGGTCGATTGCCCATACCAGTCAGCAGCGAAAGTGTTAAGGCAATCTCAAAGATAAGATTCCTAAAATTTAAAAGTCGGGGATCTACGAAATAAACTGTCAAGATTGTGACAAGAAATATGTTGGACAAACTAAAAGATCCATACAAGTAAGGTTCAAGGAGCCTTTGCATAAACTTATTAAGGAAGTTAGGGAACCAAGTCTGCTAGATAGTTACGAAAGTTTATACATGTATAAGAATAGAAATAAATCTTTAAATAGCGATTGTTGTTATCTATGTAAGCATATTTCCTGAATATTAATTTTAGTTTAGGTAAATACAATTTATAATTTATGAAAGTTATTCGAGTTTTACTCTGTCAGGCAAATAAAATGATTATTGAATAATCAAAAATTTCCAAAGAGTGTGGTGGTCGGAAAGTTATAACGGTCAGGACAAGTAAAAAACAGTAGACTAAATCAGTGAGTGGGCCTCGGTGCAAGTCATACTTGTGGCCACTGTAGGTACCTTTGCATTTAGACAAACTTTTTCTTTTTAAAATTACTTTACAGAAAAAATAAAGAAAAATATATATTTTTTAAAAATTTACAAAACAGAAGAACTTGCATAAGTATGTTTTTATTAGGCTCTTTTTCGAACTTAAGTTGAATCATGCAATAACTGCTCACTTGTAGATCTCATACAATTTTTTAATATTTTTAGTTTACTAAAAGATATTTAAAAAAACACCCTTACAAAAAAAAGTAAAAATATCATGAAAATAACATAAAAACTTCACTAAAGTCTTCTTTCATACACGCATAATTTTTAATATAAATTCAATAAGATCATAGGTACTTTAAGGTCATGTTTCATTAAATTATGCAACATATTGAACTGATTTACAAAACGATTCAGATATAAAATATATTTAATTTAATGATGTACTAATGAGCGGTATAGATAATAATTTAAGGTTGCTATATTAAAAACTTTTAAGTCCCCAATTTACGTAATTACACAAGTGTGACAGAAAATAAGTTAATTGTCCCGACCGTTAATGAGGAATGCTCCAGGTGTTTAAGTTTTCACATTTAGATAAATTCAGGGTGGGAAGTACAATAATATTTTAATTTTTTCAAAGTGCATTAGAACTTAAAAATACCAACATTCCCTTATCCCAAAAACCTATGCAGTCTATCTGCTCTCCTTGCCCTTAGTTTTTATTACTTTCAAAAAGATCTAAATTATTAATGTTTTTTGTCAAATATTTTGGATTCTATTAAACCGCCCTCGGTGGTTTAGTAATAAGCACTGCGGACTACAAGCCGAGAGGTCGTGGGTTGGAATCCCATCAGGGGTATGGCTGTTTATTTGTGTGTGTCAGTCTACTCCTGCAATTAGGCCTGTTGCCTGTTGGAAGCACATTAAAATAATAAAATAAAAATAAATAAAATATTGACATTTAGGAATAGCTTTTTAATAAAATTAAAATTAATCTGGGTGACAAAGTAAAACTGTTTAGTTCAGGACACTACGTTTATTGCTATAGTATATCTACACATCAAATGAATTATTGACAAGTTGCTGGTTAAACTATGAATGAGTTGTCTGAAATCTATAGGTATTGGTTATAGCCTTTATATGAATTAATTTCTAAACATCGATTTTTGGTTTACACATATAAGTAATAAAAAAACAGTGCGAATTTTGTAAGTAACAAAAAACTAACAACATTTATTTAAACCATGTTCGAATAAAACATGTATATTTTTATTGACACTTGATGGCCCGTTTTTATATTTTAAATATATATCTTTATTATTCACATATATACATATTTTAAATAAACTTTTTTAACAAGCTTAAAAAATTTCTACAAAATATATGTAAGTATGTGTGTTCCTTTTTTCATTATTAAATTAGAGCAACAATTTATACATAAATTGGAATGAACATATGCATGTAAGTAACATTAATAATCATCATTTTCTTTTCTAAATCTAAATAACATTTTTAAACAAATTTATCTTATCATTATAATGGACCACATATCAACAATTATATGTAAAGGATTACAACATTTACACTAAAATTTAATATAACATTATTGGATTAGCATACATTTTAAACAACTCTAATCTGACACAAACTTTTAAATAAACTAAAATTCCATTTCTGGAAATACTACTAAGAAACTAATTAAAACTTTAATGTTACCCTTAATTTTTGCGTTTCTGACAACTTTTTATTAACACAGCCGATGACTTTAATGTCAGCATAAAATAACAATAATTAATTATTGAACAGTTCCATTCGAAATTAAATACATTTGCAATCAGTTTCAAACAGGAAAGATTTTTTTAAATAAATAAAATAGGTTCTGAAATTGACGGATTTGTGGCTGGTGGGTCACCTGTATATGCTATTATTAACGACCCTCTTGATAAAATCGTTTTTTTTTTAAATTGAGTCCTGTATAATCAAAAGCCGGCATTCACACTGCCGAGGTAAGCAAAAAAGTGGTAGGTATTACTTATTGTTACTACAGTAGTTACTACATTAAATTTTCTACTTAGCACGGCAGTGTGAGATGTACTATCTTTATTCTACAGGACTCAATTATTGTCAAATTCAATTTATTTTTTATTTATTCAAATTTAAAAATCTCAAAAATTTTGATTCTTTTAAAATTACCAAAAAATACATATCGAATAAAATAATGTCCAAACAGTTTTGGGTTCTAGATTTAATCCGGTAAGTGTTATAGCCAGACATCATAAATAAACTTGTTTGTTTGAAGGTTGGAGAAAATGATGTTTGTTAAATGAAATTAAAGTTCTGGACTTCCATTGCCTTAGTATTTTTAATCACGACGGTTTGACTGGTGATTATTTGCAGAATAAGGAGTGATAAATAAATCAGGGGAAGCTGACTAAGCCTGGTCACATGTTCACCATATCAGGTGGTCAGAAGCAAACATTTTGCACAAAGAACCACACTGGCGAAATGGAAAGTTCAAGCAAGCAGCCTGAAAGTTTTAGGAAAAATAGGTATATTGTAATAAATTGAATCAGTAATAGTTACCAGACCCAACCCAATGAGGACATTCGCCGGCTTTTTACTGACAAAATAAATTCCCTGATATTTTCCGGTTTTCCACCCTGTATAATATTAAAACGGCATTATTTTGATGAATTTATAGTCATATAATTTTCAGGAACCCACTATATTTTCAAATAATTAAACATGCGATACTTTTAATAAAATTATTATTTAAATTATAAAAATATTATAATAGTATACCATTATATTTTATGCTAACCAGTCTTTCTTTTATTTATGCCAAATTTTTTCTATCCAAGTGAAGAAAAAATATTTAAGTTAAATTTAATTCTAAAAACATTGAATGCAGTTTTTTTAGCTTTAAGAATAAATAATTTTATGGCAAATAAATTTAACTTGTTTTCACATTTTAAAAATTTCACACAATGTATTTTTTAAATACATACTTTATAACTTACATTGGATACTTTATTTGTAAGGGACTTGTTACATTAACTCCCTAAAATTTTTGTCAATATGACAAAAATATACCCATAAAATTTGTGCGTGCAGGACATTTAACACATTATTTCTGGTAGTATGTATGTTTGTTAATTTATTAGCAATTTATTAATATATTGCCAATAAACTGATCAGTTTTTTATCTAAATTACATGAGTAGTTTTAAATAAATAATAATTAGGTATTTACATTCATTAAAATCCTATAATGTACTTTGTTTAACTGGTTGTGATTTTTGAATTAATACAATAAATAATCTTACACGTAATGATTGTCACAATAAAATATTTAAAACGTTATGTCCAAAACGCAGAAAGTGAATTCACGTAAATAAATTTTTGATAATTAAAAATGAGCTGCAATGATTCACTTTAACTAAAATATGAACTCACCATTAGAACAAAAATGCAAAAAATAATAAATTGTTGGTAATTAAAAATGAGCTGCAATGATTCAACTTCAAAACATAAAAATCCAAAAACATTTGGCCATACCAAAAAAGCGCATTTAAACCAACTCTAAAATATTAATAATGCCCCGACTATTAGCTGCAACTACAACATTCGAATTTTGTTTCCAACAAACAGCGGAAACGAATTCGTTTAAGTCATCTTCCCGCTTATCAGGTTCCAATACTCCTTCGACTCCCTCAAATTTGTAGTTGAACAATTTTTTACTCAAACCCTTATAGTAGATATACAACGCATTATTTTCCGAACCGCAAGCCACGTAATCTCCATCTGTGGCCAAACCAACGAAATTTTTCTCGTTTATGTGGCCGACAAACGATCTCAGACAATAGGGCGTATTAACGTTCCACATTTTTAGTTGCGAATCCGTTGAAGCCGACACGATGTCCTCGCTATTCAAGAACTTCACGTAGCTAACGGCTTTCTTGTGACCCTTAAAAACGGCCACAGCCTCTTTCATGTTTCTTAAGTCGTAATAATGAACACAGTGATCCGCACTGCCAAACGCCAACTGCGTCTGACTCTTCGGATTAAATTTAACGCAGCACACATTCGCTTTGGCCTCGAGAGTCGCGACGGAATGCTCCTCGTTCAAAGAGTACAGCTTGACTCGAGCATCGTCGGAACCCGAAGCGATTAATCGTGTGTCCACGTTGTTGAAGTCGACGCTCCAACATCGTTTCTCATGCTCTTGAAAGGTCTTGGTGCGCTGCTTGGTCGACACGTCCCAAATGGTGACCGTACCCTCGTAGTCGCTCGAAGCCAAGGTACTTTTGTGGTACGTATGCCAGCTGATGCAGGATATTTTGGACCGCGAAACCATTTCGGCCACGGGATGATGGATGTTGACGACATCCTTTACCACCGCGCCGTAATCGAACACTTTGATGCGCTTCGTGACGCCTGCTATGGCGAAAAACTCATTGTCTTTGTCAAACTCGATGCTGGACACGATGGTCGAGTTGTTGAAAAGGTCGCTGGAGTAGTTAAGAGTGGCTAGGACGCGCAATGAATTGTAGCGAGAAAATTTGATCAAGCTCTCCCGGAAGCTGTCTAAACCCGAGTTTATTTCTAGCGCCGGCTTGGTGGATTTGTCGCAATCCTTTCCGAAAAAGACGTCCTTGGAACGTGTGCTGAAGTAGCAATCGACAAAATCCTCGAAGTATGCGTGCATTCTCCTACGACGCATGGCCAGTGAGGTGGTGTGTTTGGAAGGCGTTTCAGAGGTATTTGGCACTTCTTCCTTTCTTCCTGTAGAAGTTCCGATTGTATCTATTAAATCAATCATTTCTTTTTTCATGGCACTTACAGTGGCATCATTCTCGGATGCAGAAGCCACCGCTTTTTCAACGTCTTCCAGTGTAGGACACTTGCTATGTACTTCTTTTAGCTTAATATTAACCTCGTCTATATCTTGCTCGATTATGTCAATTTCTCTGGCGATTTGACTTTGCCTTTCCTTCTTCTGTTTCAACAAATGCTTCAGGAATTCCAACAGCAATCTGTTTTGGGCCGCGCAAGATTCCGCCTCCAGCAGTTGTTTTCTCTGCGTCAAAACCTCCAAAATGACGTTTACATCGGGCAGTGTTAAATTTTGCGACTCGCTCGCGACGAAATCCCGCAAACCGTCGGCGGACGAGCCGAACTCGCCCGAACTGTCCCGAGTCATACCCAGAGACTCGTAGCCGTTTTGTCGCAACTTGTGCTTTTTGATTAGATCGTTTAGCAGAAAATTTGGAAATATGTCGTCCGTCGTGATGGACGTGTCGCATTTCGGGCAGCGTTTGTTGTTCTCGATCGAGAGCGTGATGCAGTTGAAGCAATAAGTGTGACCACACTTGGTGATGTGCGCTTCCTCTATTAAATTGTAACACACCGGACAGAGTAGATCCGCGTTTTTTTCCTCGTATGAGCCGCTCAATGTTGAACGTTGTCGTTTGGGCGTGCGGATCGACGATCGGTGCGCCGGTATGTTTGATCCGCTGTGCGATGATGCAGAACTACTGCGACCATCTCGACTAGTTGCCATGGCAGTTTACTTATTTAGTTAAAGGAAATCGACCTGAAACAATCAAGAATGCTCATTTGCCTTGCATACATTTACTCTCTATTCTATTAATTTATTATTAACGTTGTGACTAACCAATCGAAATTTTAATGAGACAAATAATTATAGAATTTTGATTAGTTGGCACAACATTATTACACAAAAAACATCAACACAAAAAAGAAAAAAAAATGAAAGTTTCAGGTCGAATCAAAGGAACATCATAAAGTGGATGGATGAAAACTAAAATGAGCTAAATGTCTTTATCTAATCCTTTTGCATAATATTGAGTTTTTTCGTGAATAATGATATTTTAAACAACAAGAATAATAAAATCATTATTCACTTGTTAGGCATCAGTAAATGGCTGATTTTAACATTCACTGTGATTGGAACCAATCAGGTTTTAAATTGGGAGAAGGCGACTATAACATTTAAAATTCGTAAAAAGTGAAGTTAACCATTTGACAGATGTCAGATTTTATTTAATTTATTTTTGAAAATCATTTAATTATTTACTTATTGGAGTAGATAGAGTATAATATTACTCGAGATTATCCGCATTATTCACTCGGATGATTTAAGTCTCTCCGGGGACTCGAACCGCAAACCTAATCCTCGTGAATAATAATATATAATACGCCTTAAAAATGCAAATCAAAAACCGTTTTTGTAATTTGTCATATTTTTAAGCCTAGAATGGCAGGAAAGGACAAAGATAATTATTAGTCAGTTCCTGTAAATATAACTTTTCTGGATTTCAGAATGTTCACTGCTTACTACAGAAAAATGTGAAATAAATCTGATTTGATAAAACTACTTATTTACTCAACAGCATATCTAATGAGATTAATTAATTATAATTTTAAATATACTGTTTTCATAACTTGTTCGAAATTCCGTGCCCACCACTGTACCACCTAAATTTTATTAAAAAAACATCCTTTTTCTACGAAAACATCTATACTTTTATAGCCTCAATTGTTCTGACTTAAATAATAATAAAAAATAATTTGTATGTGCAAAAGTACAACACTTTTTAAGTAATTATAATATTAACTTTCGTTTGGAAAAAGCAATATGTTATAAATGTTAAATACACACAAAGACGTTTTTGGAATATTTTACTTTAACATTGTTTAATTAAACCTTTCATCCCACAAACAGTGTGCTCATATTGGACGCTCTGGGAGGTTGAACATATAGCTTTAATACAGTAAATGTTTAGATTTGTTATGTCGATGCGATATAAAACCAATCATTTTTGCAAAATTTGTCAACTGTGTTCACGGTTGTTATTTTAATACAAATTGACAAAAAAATTAATCAATATAAATGATCAAGTACTTAGTAGTAAATATATTTATTGCAACAACCAAATGGCTAACGACCGAGTTGTTTCTGCCTATAACTGATCAATTTAATAAATAATGTAATTATGTAGTGTATAAAATAAAAAGGTCCACAAACGAGACAGAATACCTAAAATATTCATATTCAATAAGGTTTCGTTCAAGAGTGTATAGTTCCGCGAATCCCAAGGTGCATAAACACCTCACTGACCAGGACTAGAGTGCAAAGTGCATAGTGTCACCCTTGCCATCCACCAGGTGGTTCATTCTGGCGGGAAACTGAAATAGATCAAACACGAGGAAACAAGGGGTATCTGCGAAATTCGGATAAGTATTTTAATATTATTTGCACGACGCTATTCGCAATGCTAAAGGCTCGTAATTCCGAAATTCACCAAGCCTTCGGGTTTGTACCCGTAGAAAAATCTGTAGGTACAACAAAAATACATAAAAAAGAGGTGAACAGGAAGTAAACCAACATCTTAATAGACCAAAAAATACCATATGCCTATTCAACAAAGCAAGTTCGACTTAAAATTAAAAACAAGCATCTGACCAAAGGACACCATACTGCACGAACACCGGAAACCGAAGAAGCTGTTTTACAATTAGTGGATCAAAACCCTGAAATAAGTACTAGAAAAATTGGGAATATTTTAAATATTACTCATGTTCTAGTGTGGAGAATTCTTCATGATTATTTGTTATATCCTTACCATATTCAACGGGTCCAGGCCCTACTTCCTCGGGATTTTCCATTACGCTTAAATTTTTGCCAATGGTTTCTTCAAATGGTTACCGACAATCCCCAATTTAACGCCAAAATTTTATTTACGGACGAAGCTAATTTTTCCAGGAACGCCATGAGAAATTTTCACAACAATCATTTATGGACTGAAGAAAACCCGCATGCCATCACGGAATCCAACTACTAACAACAATTTTCTGTAAACGTATGGGCTGGAATTATTGGTGATTATTTACTTGGACCCTATTTTCTACCAGGCAGATTGAACGGAAATAGTTATCGCCAGTTTCTTGAACAGAGTTTACCAAATTTGCTAGACGACGTCCCTGCTTTTACCCGGCTTCATATGTGGTTTATGCACGATGGTGCACCTCCCCATTTCAGTCTCCAGGCACGGGAATTTTTAAATCAACATTATAGAATCGCTGGATAGGGCGCGGAGGAACACAATCGTGGCCACCTAGATCGCCAGACCTAAACAGTCTAGATTTTTTCCTATGGGGACATCTTAAGGCGTTGGTTTACAGCACCACAATAAATACTGAGGAGTTGAGAAACCGCATAATAGTTTCTTGTGACACCATCAGAAATACTCCAGGAATTTTTCTAAGGGTACAAAACTCAATGAGGAGAAGAGCTGAAGCATGCATACTTGCAGGTCGTGGCCACTTTCAACCGCTAATCTAAATTATTTTTGTTTTTGTTTACGTTATTTAATTTTAGTTCTTTTAAAATTATTTTATAATTAAATTTACGTTTAATGTTTATTTAATCATGGCATTGTTTTCTCAATATGCGCATTAAATGCTTTTTATTTTTTTCATCGAAAACCCTTAGTCGTACGAAAAATGGTCAAAAAATCAAATTTGCCCTAAAATGAATGGGGATTTAAAAAATAATTTTTATTTTGAAAAATATCATTGGCGTGCATAATATTTTTCCAAAAATATCTTGACCACATCCTGTACGGACGCCACTGGTATAAAAAATAAAAAATCTTCTACATCAAAAACTAACACTGTTAATGCTTAGAAGGCGTGTGCCAAATTTTATAAAAATATCTAGGAAGTTATTAAAGTTATGATAAAAAAACAATTTTTTTCTCAAAACTTTAACACCCTGTAACTCAAAAATTAAGAGGTTTAGGTCATAGGTTTATTTGAACTTTTTTTTTTAAATCAACTAAGGATTCACACCCTTCAGGTTCAGCATCTTATTCTGAAACACCCTGTATATACATACACACCAGCAGCAATAGCCATTTGAACTAAACTTCTAAGCTGTGCCTGATTAACACAATAGTACAAATATTGTAACTAGTCGCGGTGAAGGAAAAAAATCTTGTACACCGCGAACTGAATAAGTTTGTGACCCCTTGTTCTATAGCCATATTGGATAGGAATAATTTAATAAAGCATGTAATTAAATTATACAAGATTACTTACTTATGTTTTCATGTTCTATATCTTGCTCAATGAAGTAGGTAAAAGAAACATTTTATAATGATTATTTTACAAATAAAATGTGGCTGGTCCACAGTGCTCTGTGGGCTGGTTTAACATATTGGATTAAAATAGGGTAATTAGTAATTACTAATTACTATACCTATACTTCTGTGCTAAATAAAAGAGCAGTAACTCTCTTTTTTTATAATGATTCGGGCATTTTTATGCTTTTTAACTACTTTAAAAAGCAGTAGGTATTGACCATATGTCATAACTACTGCTTTTTAAAGTAGTCAAAAAGGCAGTAAAATTCCCGAAACATATTTTAATAAAAAAATAAATGGAGTTACTGCTTTTTAAGTTAGCACGGCAGTATAGGTATAGCATATGTACTACAGTTTATCAGAAAAGAATTTAACAATTTAATAAAACAAACAAAAAAATAACATAAAAAGTGTATTGTAAATGTACTTACAGTTCAATTTGTTTAAGAAGTTGTCCCTGGCATCTGTTATTAAACTTTTCAGCAGCTTCACTTAGACAAATTCCATTTCCCAAATCATTGGTGTAAACGCCCAAAACTAAACCTTTCTGCAATTAAAAGGGTGTTTTAGTCATCATTATGAATTATATAGTTTAATTAACCAGGTGAACAAGTACTTACTTTATTTGCCGAAGAGAAATACCTTTGAGAAAATTTGATAGCTGGAGATAACCTAACAATTTTTTTACAATTTAAGAATAATGCCATTCTTTGTGAAAAACTAAATTATGTTAAAATTTATTTAAACGGTCTAATGCACTTTTAAAACCTGTGTTTTAATTTAAAATTGTTAAATGGTCAGACTTAAAAAGGCAAATGGAACTTCAAAAACACTACAAAATTGATTTTTGACAGATACGGCTGTTTTCGATATCACCGCCAGGTCGCGCCAGATGGCAAAACTGTTTTTTTGTTAACATAGGACTTTTCAAATTTAATTTTCTGTTTTGCTCAGAAAACAGTAAATGATTTTTAAAATTGGTTAATGTGTCCAACGGGGATGGAAACCAAATCATTAGCATGGTATTTGTTTTCATTATTATTAAAATTTTCTTTAATGTATCTTTCCTTTTAAGATTTTGTTTGTTTATGTTTGTATGTAGGGAGTACGATGCTGTACAGAGGATTAAAGTTGGAAAAACCAGACGTTTTTCCAAGCAGACATTTGAATATTTTCTTGTTTTGGACTTTGAGGCAACCTGTTGGGACAAAGGAGACTACGATAAGGGGTCATCTGAAGTAATAGAGTTTCCCTGTGTGTTATATGACGTGAAAAACAATGAAATAGTTGATGAATTTCAACAATATGTTATGCCTTTTGAAAAACCCAAATTAAGCCCCTTTTGTACAAATTTAACAGGTAAATTTAGTAAAATCATTGAAACTAAATTAGTAATTTTGGCAAAACTGTCCACATCCACATAAGTGGTTATTTTGAAGGTGTAGAGTATAAAGTTAGTCTTTAAAAATGTAAGTTTTTACCCTTAAAAGTATCAATTTAATAAAACTTATATAAACATATGTAGCTAAAGACAGGCATTAACAATGTTAAATTAAGCTTTTTATAACTAGAGACCCTTCAAATATCTTGAGAATGTAAGCGTTGTACATGCTAACAACAAAAAGTTACTAATTAGTAGATTAATCTAGTTTTGGTGATAGATTTTCATGTTTTCGACATTGGAATTGGGCATTATAAATACATGTCTTTTTCAGGCATTGAGCAGCATCAAGTAGAAAATGGAGTACCTTTAAAAACTTGCCTTATGCTATTTAATAAATGGCTGAATAAACTTATAAAAGAACACAAACTGTCTTTTGTAAGACAGGAAAATCTTAAGTATACTGGTTTTTGTACTTGGTCAGATTGGGACCTTGGCACCTGTTTGTTTAGGGAGTGTAAAAGAAAGGGAATATATAGGCCTGAACATTTCTCCAGATGGATAGATGTTAGAGCCATTTATAAGGTATACTTTTGGCATAGAATAGGCAATACATTGTGTATTACATTTATTATTTTAGGATCATTATGCAAGAAGACCTCATGGTCTATTGGGAGCCTTGACAGAATTAGGATTAGAGTTTGAAGGTAGGCAGCATTGTGGTTTACATGATGCAAGAAATACTGCAAGACTTGTTGGAAGGATGGTTGAAGATGGGGTTTATTTTAAATTGACCAAGGATATTACTGGTAAAAGATGATGCTCAGAAATGATTAATAATTTTAACTGTTCAATTATTTTTGTACTTCCATTTAAAAGACCAAGCTGTTACATTTATAAATAAAATTAATCAATTTAACATTATGTAATTTATTAGTTATTCTTTGTTGGAAGTTCAAAACTGACTTTAATTAATAAATAGTTATATTAAAATAAAAACTGATTTAACATTTATAATTTATGATAATTATATTACATAAATTGATTCATTGGATCTTCCTCTCGTCTTCTTTTCAAGTAGTAAGCTTCAATTTCCTCCTCAGTAGGTTTTTTAGCTTCAAACATACTGTTATAAGGTCTCTTTCTTTCATCAATTGCCAATAACCTATCAGCATTTTCTTGGCTTTGTTCTTCAGCCTTTACAGCCTCTTTAAGCAAATCCTTTTTTTTATTTTGCTTTTTCTCCTTTTGTTTCTTCTTCTTGTCCTTTTTCTTTTTCCTCTTTTCTTTCTTTAATTTTGAATCTTCTTCATTACTTGAACTTGCTTCCTTTTCTTCTGGGGATTCTTCTTTTTCTTCTTCATCTTTAGTTGATTCTTCAACCAAAGGTATTGATTCTGTTGAATTTTTATTTTTACCATTTTCTCCAAGGCAATATGAATTTTTTATGAAGGAATGGCAACATTTATAACCCCAATGACCACCTTTCCAAAATGAACCCCATACAGATGTGTGGTTGTTAATGTAAACATCCTCTTCATATTTGGATTTTATGATTTCTTTTTCCTGTCCCTTAACAATTTTTCCTGATCTTGAGTATTCAACATAGTCTTCTGTTTGAGCTAAAAGTAATGTTTTTGGAGGTGCATCCAAGTGTTCTTCACCTCCATATTTTTCCAGGATGTTGTTTTGAATTTTGCCTTTAAATTGTTCTTTCTTCTGTTCATATTCTTTTTGTAAAAGCTCCAATTTTGTGGGTTCTGCTAGTAAGTGTACATCAACACCTTTTTCGTAAGCATCCCATGCAAACAACTGTGCATTTAAATGTTTCGTTGTATCTCCAGTGAATCTCACAAAATTTTCACCAGAGTAAGGATCATCCTTACTTGGATTTGGATTTTCTCTCATAGATCTTGTTTTAGGGTCATAGTAAGCTGAATTTGGATCTAAATTCCTTAAATATTTGGCTGTATCTTCCCTTATCCTTAAATTTCTTACAGTAATCCTTTGCTTACTATCTACTTTAGTACCAGGCATATCAACTTCATCCACATATTTATCCTCATCTTTTTCACCTTCTTCCTCACTATCTTCATTAGCATCCAATTTGTCAGCTTTTAATTGTCTTTTGGCTTCTTCAACTTTTTGGAATTCTTCTATTACAGCTTTGTGCTCTGATGGGTCATATCCACTCCATCTATCTCGTTTACCATCAAAACTTAAGGCTAGATTTTTTTGTACAAACTCGTCTGCAGCTATATTTGCTCCAGAATATTTTGCACCCACTTTCCTGGGTCTTTCCATACAGTCTCTTCTTATGTGGGTTAAAGCCCCACAGTTCTCACATGCTCCTTTTCTATATTTTGTCACTATTTTACTCTAAAAATCAATAAATATTAACATTTACTTTTTAAAACAAAAAATTCCACTTACATTATCGACTCCTCTGCTATACCATTCATCAATCTTACTGAATTGTTTTTGTTTCTCTTCCTGAGGTCTCTGATGTTTTAGCGTAGGCCCACTAGTTCCATAATACCATGGTGCTGATGAAATGTACTGTGGTATATGCGGATTAATATCTTTACCTTCTTCATCGACAGCAGCTGGGGCTGTACCTGCTTTACGTGCTTCTTCTAACTCTTTTGCTTTCCTCCAATCTTCCCTCGACTTTTTCTTAGGTTCATCCTCAAATTCTGCTTTGGATTTGAGAATCTCCGATACAGGTAAGTTTTGCGGAGCACTTGCCATTATATTGTCTTGTTTAAAAACAAGGTTTTAATGTAATGCATAGAAAAAGGATGTAATGTATTACTTTGTCATTTGTTTGGTTATTAAACTGTCAAACGTTTTTATTCCTGAAGTTAGGTTATGTTTAAAATGGAAAATCTAACGTCAATACAGCGTTGCCGTACTTTCTATTTTTTCTTCAATTCGCACCATTATCCCCGCACAGTAAACAGGTATTTTAAAAATTAAGTATTTTTTATAGATTTATTATCTCTGTTATACAGGATGATTTTTAACCTAGGGGCCGTCCATAAATGATGTCACACACTTAGGGGGGAGGGGGGTTCGTCGAAAATGTGACAGTTTGTGACAGCCGGGGGGGGCTTTGGGAGGTTGTGATGTTACAAAATTATAAAAATATTTTGGAATTTAATAATTAATAATGGTTATAAACTGGATATTAAGATTTTATTTTAAGCAAAAATTTTGTGGGGTAGACCTTACATAAAAATTAAATCAGTGTGACGTGACGCCAATGGGGAGGGGGGGATCCCATAAATTGTGACACTTTGTGACAAGTGGGGGAGGGGGGGTCAAAAATATTAAAAAAACGTGTGACATCATTTATGGACGGCCCCCTATCTATACGCATAAACTTGGAAAATTATAGCTGCACGGAGAAAAAAGTTTATTGCTCCCAAATAAAAAAAATATTTAAATATGGGACAAGGGTACAGTTTATTTATCCTAAATATATTTTTATTCCCGACATATAAAGTTTTACTAAAGTATATTTATCGTTATTATTTCGACTATTTAGAGGTAATAAACAATATATTCACTACAAATAAAAGTATTAGGTAAACAGTTTATTTGTCCCATTTTTTTCTCAGTGTGAGTACCAATAATTAGTAATTATTAATTACTAATAAAGGTAATTAAACATTTACTAATAAAGGTAATAAATCATTTTTATTTACGGCGATATTAATTTATTTCGAATAAAAATAAAAGAACGTGAATTTTATAAAATTGAGAATCATTTAATTTATTATACACTGAGAAAAAAATGGGACAAATAAACTGTGTAGCTAATACTTTTATTAATAGTGAATATATTGTTTATTACCTCCAAATAGTCGAAATAATAACGATAAATATACTTTAGTAAAACTTTATGTGTCGGGAATAAAAATATATTTAGGATAAATAAACTGTACCCTTGTCCCATATTTAAATATTTTTTTATTTGGGAGCAATAAAGTTTTTTCTCAGTGTAGTAACTAATGACTAATAATGAAAAAAAATTTAGTAAAACATTTTTTCTCCTCCCACCTTTAAACGCCCATTATAGTCAGAGATATAGACCAAATAAAACCCCGAATAGACCCCGATATAGACTCAGACTGCAATGAAGGTTCGAAAATATTCAAGGAGTATGCCATATACAGGGTGTCCGGGAAAATGTGGGAAATCTCTCAGATTCAGATAAAACATGAAAAAATAAGATGACACGTTCCTATAAATTTTTTTCCTACTGGCCATCCTTACGGATACATGGGCCCCGAAAGGACTCCTATGCAAATTGGTTTTCCTTGAATAACTTTTAAAGTACTAAATATAATTTAATACAAATTTAATATGATGGACCCTGGTAAGGACCTCTTAAAATAGTGTTATTAAAACATGTTTTGCTTTTTTTGTTTACCAGGAGCGGACTAAGTTTTACTTCTTAATGCTTAAATTTTGAACACCCCGTATAACAAAGACTTAAACTAAAATAAAGGTACTCTTGTTTATTGTCAATAAAATGAACCGTTTTCGAGAAAAAGAATAATAAACAAATTCACGTTTATTTTTAATAAAAAGGACCATAAAAAAATAATATAACGTATTGTTGCAAACCTTAAATTGAAGGACGATTATTCTACCCTGCTGAAAATGACGGATGATTGCGGATATAAATTCTTCGTCAAAACCGGATAAAAACAGATGATTGCGGGTATAAAATCTTCGTCGAAGCCGGATAAAAGCGGGTAAAAATATCATCTGATAACATCTGCTTTTGTCCGCATCGCTATATCCGCGAACACCCGGTTGGTAGTGTTTTATGTCCGGTTAGTGCACCCCCGCAATCATCTGCAATCATCTGTTCTGTGTTTCGTTTATATCTGAATTTGTCCGGAATCATCTGCAAACGTCTGGTTTTATCCGCCAACATATGCTTTTATTCGCCAACATCTGCTTTCATCCGCGAACATCTGCAATCACCTGCGAACAACTGCTTTTATCCGCGAACATCTGCAATCACCCGCGAAGATCTGCTTTTACCCGCGAACGTCTGCTTTCATACGGTTTCACCCGCAAACATGCTTTTATCTGCGAACGCCTGATTTCATCCGGTTAGTGCACCCCCGCATTCACCCGCAAACATCTGCTTTTATCCGCGAACATCTGCAATCATCCGCAAACATCTGCTTTCATCCGAGATCATCTGATTTTATCCGCCAACATCTGCTTTTATCCGCGAACATCTGATTTCATCCGCGAACATCTGCAGTCACCCGAGAACAACTGCTTTTATCCGCGAACATCTGCATTCACCCACGAACATCTGCAATCACCCGCGAACATCTGCTTTCATCCGCAAACGTCTTGTTTTATCCGCAAACATCTGCTTTCATACGGTTTCACCCAAAAACATGCTTTTATCTGCGAACGCCTGATTTCATCCGGTTATTGCACCCCCGCAAACATCTGCTTTTATCCGCAAACATCTGCTTTTATCCGCCAACATCTGCAATCACCTGCGAACATCTACTTTCATCCGCGAACATCTGTAATCATCCGCGAACATCTGCTTTCATCCGCGAACATCTGCTTTTATCCGCAAACATCTCATTTTATCCGCGAACATCTGCTTTTATCCGCAAACATCTGCTTTCATCCGCAAACATTTGCTTTTATCCGCAAACATCTCATTTTATCCGCGAACATCTGCTTTCATACGGTTTCACCCGCAAACATGCTTTTATCTGCAAACATCTGATTTTATCCGCAAACATCTGCTTTTAATCGTAAACATCTGATTTTATCCGCAAACATCTGAATTTATCCGCAAATATCTGCTTTTATCCGCGAACATCTGCCAACATCTGCTTTTAATTGCAAACTTCTGCTTTCACCCGTGTTCAGTTTGCCTGCATTTCCTTTGTCCATTTCGGTCCTGTTTCGTACGCAAACGTCTGGTTTCATTCGCGCTTTTTGTTTTCCTTTTTCTCGTGTATACTTTAGTTTAGTTTACCTGCTTTGTCAAATTTTACTGAGTTTTAACTAACTGGTTGTTAGCCGTTCACGGCACACAATTTTATAACTCTAAAAGGAATTATTTGAATAAAAACAACCTAAAGGAAATAAGTTTATTGAACTTCAATATTATTATTATATGAAAAACACTTATTTCGGCGTAGAATTTTTCATCTAACTTTATAAACTTATTTATTTTGGCATAACCAATATTTTTAATATATATGTAAGAATTAATAGACTTATTATTTCTGTGGTACTCTTCACTTTAGTATACCTGATTTTTAAATTTAAATCTGGTGAATATAATTAAATTATTTTCCCATTGGGAAAATGTCGTGTTGAATATTATTTCCTTTACAGGTTGTTTTTATTCAAATAATTCCTTTTAAAGTTATAAAGTTGTGTGCCGTGAACGGCTAACAACCAGTTAGTTAAAGCTCACTAAAATTTGACAAAGCAGGTAAACTAAACTAAAGTATACACGAGAAAAGCGCGAATGAAACCAGACGTTTCCGTACGAAACAGGACCGCAATGGACAAAGGAAATGCAGGCAAACCGAACGCGGATGAAAGCAGAGGTTTGCAATTAAAAGCAGATGTTTGCAGATGTTCGCGGATAAAAGCAGATATTTGCGGATAAATGCAGATGTTTGCGGATAAAATCAGATGTTTGCGATTAAAATCAGATGTTTGCGGATAAAATCAGATGTTTGCGGATAAAAGCAGATGTTTGCGGATAAAAGCAGATGTTTGCGTATAAAATCAGATGTTTGCGGATAAAAGCAGATGTTTGCCGATAAAAGCAGATGTTTGCAGATTAAACTAGATGTTTGCGGATAAAAGCAGATATTTGGAGATTAAAAGAGATGTTTGCGGATAAAAACAGATGTTTGCGGTTTAAAGGAGGCGTTCGCGGATAAATGCAGATGTTTGCGGATAAAAGCAGAAGTTTGCGGATTAAAGCAGACGTTCACAGATAAAAGCAGATCTTCGCAGATAAAAGCAGATGGTTGCAGGTGAAATCGGATGAATCAGACTTTTGCGGACTAAATTAGATGTTTGCGGATTAAAACAGATGTTTGTGGATTAAAGCAGATGTTCAAAGATAAAAGCAGATCTTTGCGGATATAAGCAGATGTTTGCAGGTGAAATCGGATGAAGCAGACTTTTGCGGACTAAAGTAGATGTTTGCGGATGAAATCAGATGCTTGTGGATTAAAATAGATGTTCGCGGATGAAAGTACATCTTCACGTTTAAAAGCAGATGTTTGCAGGTAAAATCGGATAAAGCAGACGTTTGCGGATTAAAGTAGATGTTTGCGGATAAAATCAGATAAAACCGGGTAAATGCAGATATAAACCCTAATACAGGTATTTGCGGATGAAATCAGATGAAAGCAGTCATAGAACTAAATAGATAAAACCCGACGTTCTTGGATAATATTTATACCCGCAATTGCAGATAAAAACCGACATGCCGGGTAAAATCAGATAAAAGCAGATCTTTGCGGATATAAGCAGATGTTTGCAGGTGAAATCGGATGAAGCAGACTTTTGCGGACTAAAGTAGATGTTTGCGGATGAAATCAGATGTTTGTGGATTAAAATAGATGTTCGCGGATGAAAGTAGATCTTCACGTATAAAAGCAGATGTTTGCAGGTGAAATCGGATAAAGCAGACTTTTGCGGATTAAAGTAGATGTTTGCGGATAAAATCAGATAAAACCGGGTAAATGCAGATATAAACCCTAATACAGGTATTTGCGGATGAAATCAGATGAAAGCAGTCATAGAACTAAATAGATAAAACCCGACGTTCTCGGATAATATTTATACCCGCAATTGCAGATAAAAACCGACATGCCGGGTAAAATCGGATATGTCGGATGAAAACAGATATAAATGGACATAAAACTAGCTTGGTTTTTTATCCACAATCATCCGATATTACCCGTCTTTTTCAGCAGGGTAAACAATTGATTAAAAACTTTATAAGAGGGTTCAACATGGGTTCCGTGAACTCTGATACATTCGCGGGCACGACGAATTGAGGACTGCTGTACCCGCCAGAATAACCCAGAATTGTTTCTTATCATATCACAATAAAACGTGATTATCTGTAGAAGTTCCTCCCTAGTATCTATCGGAGTGGAATACACCAAGTTTTTTTAGGTATCCCCACAGGAAAAAATCCATCAGCCTAAGGTCGGGAAATCGAGGAGGCCAGTCAATAGGTCCTCCTCTACCTATCCAACGGTTTGGATAAACGTTATTCAAGTGCTCCCGCACAGCAACGCTGAAATGAGGTGGTGCCCCATCGTGCAAGAAGTACATGTTTAGGCGGATTTCAAGTGGTAAGTATGGGCTGATGAAAATCCTCATGCCACTATTGTTTCGCATTTTCAACATCAGTTTCAACCAATTAATACGTGGGCAGGAATCATTGGCAATATTTTGATTGGACCATTCGTATTGCTGGCACAATTGAATGGACAACTTTTTTGGAGTTTCTCCAGAACGCTTTTCGGGATTTAATAGAGCCCTTACCACTTGAAACCCGCCTACACATGTACTTCTTGCACGATTGGGCACCACCTCATTTCAGCGTTGCTGTGCGAGAGCACTTAAATAAAGTTTATCCAAACCGTTGGATAGGTAGAGGAGGACCTATTAACTAGCCTACTCGATCTCCCCGACCTTACGCTGATAGATTTTTTCCTGTGGGGCCACCTAAAAAACTTGGTGTACTCCACTCCGATCAATATTAGGGAGAAACTTCTACAGATAATCACGTTTCATTGTGATATGATAAGAAACAATTTTGGTTATTCTGGCGGCTACAGCAGACCTCAATTTGTCGTGCCCGCGAATGTATCAGAGTTCACGGAACCCATGTTGAACCCTCTTATAAAGTTTTTAAATCATTGTTTCGAATTATCGTCCTTCAATTTAAGGTTTGCAACAATACGTTAGGTATATTATTTTTTTTATGGTCCTTTCTATTAAAAATAAAACATGAATTCGTTTATTATTCTTTTTTTCGAAAACGGTTCATTTTATTGACAATAAACAAGAGTACCTTTATTTTAGTTTAAGGTTCAAGCTATGCAAATTTAGTTTTTTTAAGTATTTGTCATACGGGGTGTTCAAAGTTTAAGCATTAAGAAGTAAAACTTAGTCCGCCCCTGGTAAACAAAAAAAGCAAAACATGTTTCAATGACACTATTATAAGAGATCCTTACCAGGGTCCATCATATTAAATTTTTATTAAATTATATTTAGTACTTTAAAAGTTATTCAAGGAAAACTAATTTGCAGGGGAGTCCTTTCGGGGCCCATGTCTCCGTAAGGATGGCCAGTAGGAAAAAAATTTATAGGAAAGTGTCATCTTATTTTTTCATGTTCTATCTGAATCCGAGAGATTTCCCACATTTTCCCGGACACCCTGTATATGGCGGAGTATTCCTAGATGATATATCATCTAGGAATAATCCGCTTCATTCTAGGAATATTCATTGGGAGTATTCCTAGAATGGTGCCACCATGGACGTCCTCTAAAACTTCCAAGCACCATCTAAGAACATTCCCAGTGAATATTCATTGGGAATATTTCATAGAATAATCCTCTACAACTTTCAAGCAACATCTTGGAACATTCCCAGTGAATATTCTTTATATTCAAAAAACACGTTTGGAATTGCATATTCCCCTCTCGTGAAACCGTCAAACTCGCCTTCGGCTTGTGTGACAAACTTTTCACTCGAGCGGAATATGCCGTATTCCAAACTTGTTACAGAATATACTATTCTCTTTCTACAAATCAGTTATATTCCAGGAATTTGCAATATTATCTAGGAATAATCCGCATTCACTGGGAATGTTTCAAGATGTTGCTTGGAAGTTGTAGAGGATTATTCTATGAAATATTCCCAATGAATATTCACTGTGAATGTTCTTATAAGATGGTGGTTGGAAGTTTTAGAGGATCATTCTAGGAATATTTCCAATGAATATTCCTATAATGAAGCGGATTATTCCTAGATGATATGGTATATTCCTGGAATATAACTGATTTGTAGAAAGAGAAAATTATTTATTGTTTTTTGAATATAAAGAACATTTACTGGGGATGTTCCAAGATGTTGCTTGGAAGTTGTAAAGGATTATTCTATGAAATATTCCCAATTAATATTCACTGTGAATGTTCTTATAAGATGGTGGTTGGAAGTTTTAGAGGATCATTCTAGGAATATTTCCAATGAATATTCCTAGAAAGAAGCGGATTATTCCTAGATGATATGGCATATTCCTGGAATATAACTGATTTGTAGAAAGAGAATAGTATATTCTGTAACAAGTTTGGAATACGGCATATTTCGCTCGAGTGAAAAGTTAGTCACACGAGCCGAAGGCGAGTTTGACGGTTTCACGAGAGGGGAATATGCAATTCCAAAAGTGTTTTTTGAATATAAAGAATATTTACTGGGAATGTTCCAAGATGTTGCTTGGAAGTTTTAGAGGACGCCCATGGTGGTACCATTCTAGGAATACTCCCAATGAATATACCTAGAATGAAGCGGATTATTCCTAGATGATATATCATCCCAGATGATATATCATCTAGGAATAATCCGCCATATATATGGCATACTCCCTAAAATTTTGAGTTATAACTCAGAATTTTAAAATTTCGAGATACAAGTCGAAATTTTAACATAAAATTTCGAGTTATAACTCGAAATTTTAAAATTTCGTGTTATAAGTCGAAATTTTAGGGTAAATTTTCGAGTTATAACTCGAAATTTTAAAATTTCGTGTTATAAATCGAAATTTTAGGGTAAAATTTCGAGTTAAAACACGACATTTTAAAATTTCGAGATTTAATTCGAAATTTTACCCTAAAATTTCGATTTATAACTCGAAATTTTAAAATTAATTATGTTTTTTTGTGCTGTGTCCCTTCTACGCCTTTGTAACATCCTCAATTATACTCAATAAAAAAAAATTAGCAAAAAAACAATTCAAATTTCCTAAATTATCGGTAAAATTTTATAATAATTTTTTTTTATTATTGGTCCTCAGCAATAATTTCACAAGTTCTTGCGTATAGGTTAAGAATCTTCCTGTACATTGTTATTACAATTGTTTGGCATCAATAATAAATTTAGATTTATACATTTTTCTACTCCTATTTCATATTATTGACATTTGTTTTTTTCGTAAATAATGGTAACCAATATAACCGCCAGGCCTAACAACGGAAATATTGAACTCATATTATTCACGTTGTTAGGCATTTGAACCAATCGGTTTTTAAATTGGGAAAAAGTAAGGTTAACATGTCAGATGTCAGATTTGTTTATATATACAAGGGGCGACTATAATGATCTTTAAAATCGGTAAAAAGTGAGGGTATAATAAATTTTATCAATGAAAATTACTTAATTGGAGTGGAAAAAGTATAGTATTACACTAGAAATAATGCGCATTATTTACTCAGAACCTTATCCTTGGCAATAAAAGCCTGCATTAACTCTCGTATAATAATGTACTATTAAATTATTAATTAAAAAAAATATTTGTATGAAATAAAAAAGATTTATTTGTTGTAAATATATTTGACTATCTTAAGTAAATTACTACAAATTTCATAATATAAATAAAAAATAACAGACTTTCAATATAAAAATATACAATACTAAAGTGTTTATAAATTTAGTAAAGGACTTCACATTGTCAAAATATTACCTAAGAAAATATACGAGGGACGAGAAGAAACAGCATAAATAGGGAGACAAAATTAAATTCGACAGACAAAGAGAATTTAAGTAGGTAAATCTACTAGTAATTTAATAAATTGTCATTTCAAAAATTGTATGATGTTTAAATGCGCTGGCAAAAACGCATTGTTTTTGGGTAAGATTGAAATTGTTGGAATATCCTAGAGTCTTTGGCAGTTGACCAAGCTGCCAAACAGATTTAAGAAGTCATTAAACCCCCTTGAGTACTTAAATTGAGTTCTGAATAATAATCACTAATTTTAATTTATAATTTTTAAAAAGCAAAAAAGATTGCCTTAATGTCGAATTTGTTGTTATTTGCGCGCAATGTAGGGTAGGTGGGTAAATGACGAGTAGAGAGTAGGTAGAGATCGATTTACTTTAAACTTCTATTTGATTTCCCGGGCTCCTTCCGCCGGACAAGACAGCTGGTACAAGAGTTGAATCAGGGTACGAGTAGGTCTGCCAGTCATTCTTCCCTGAGTTAGGTACGGGTAAATCTTGTGTTCGCTGAGGAAACCAACTCCGGTCGTGTCGAAATGGATCCAGTCGACGCATTCGATAAACTCGTTGAGGAAGGCGGCGCCCAACGGCGAAGAACCGTGCCCCCAACCCTTATTGTTCACGTCGTGAGACCTGAAGTCGGTCACCTTTCTGGTAAAGAACTTCCACAAGGGCAAACGCCACACTCTGTCGCCAGTGATGACGCCAGCCTTGCGCACCTGGGACCACATCACCTGCGAGTTGGTGTACACACCGCTGGCGGCCGATCCAAGAGCTGCCCTCACTCCGGGAGTCAAACTGGCAACGTCGATGATGAGCCGAGGTCTGTGTGTCGCCTGGCCGTACACGAAAGCGTCAGCCAAAATCAATCTTCCTTCGTTGTCGGTATCGGTCACCATAATGGATTTTCCATTCAGTCCCATGACGACATCGCCAGGTTTTACAGCCATACCGCTGGGCATGTTCTCGCACAACGGAATTACAGCTTCGATGTTGATCGGCAAGCTGAGGGCAGAGGCGGCACGAATGGCCGCAATTATGGCTGCGGCACCAGTCATGTCTGCCCTGTAGACGCTCATAGTTTCGCAGCGTTTCAAGCACAAGCCACCACTGTCGAAGGTGATGCCCTTTCCGACCATGAGGATTGGTTTTTGGTCGGCGGGAGCACCGCAATACGAGATTTCCACAACCACTGGAGGTTCGCAAGAACCTCTGGCAACGGCTAGAAAAGCGTTCATTTTCTTCGATTCGATCCAGTCCTTGTCGTGCACCATAACTTTGATGCCGCAAGGGCACAGTTCGTTGACGGTTTCTTGGGCAAAATGAAGAGGCGTCATTTGATTGGCTGGAGTATCAGACAAACGACGAGCCAAATTCTGCGATTCAGCCTTGAACAACCCCCTCTGGAAAGCTTCGGCTTCGCAATCGTCGAATAATTCTAGAGTTGGAATGATTTTCCAGTGTTGTCTCATTTTGTTTTCTTGATAGCGCCACAATGCAAGGGCGCTTCCTTCGGCAGCCTGTTCAGGGTATCCCATTCCTTCGACGAGGATCCTGGTGACTCCTTCGCGTTTCAAGGCCTGCGCCCCCAAACCAGAGCCGTGTCGGACGGACTCCATACCCTCGTCAATCGCTTCCATTTCATTGTAGCCTAATTTTTCTCGACCCAAGCCGACTACCACTACAGACCAAAACTCCTTGTCGATGTTATTAAAAATTTTAGCTTTGCCTTTTTGAATGTCGGCTCCAGCTCTAAAATAAACGTCAAAAATTAATTATAGAACAACATTCTGATAGGTTTATCTTACTTTTTTACAAGATCTCCCAATTTTCCTCCCAAGTGATCGTTAAATTTAGCCGCAGATTTTGTAAATATTGCTTCTTCATTTTCCCCTTCGTATATTCCTAAAATTAACCCTTTCTACAAAGAAAATAAAAATTAAAAATTTTGACAGTCTATAAAATTTGTCAAATTCTAAGTTAAATGATTTTGCTTATTGGTAAATTATATACCGAACACAATATGTATCTTTATTCATGAACTTGTATGAGTATACAAAATAATTTAAAAAAACAAATTTTGATCTCCAAAATGTACGCTAAATTTACCAATTGCCACAAAACCATTTGTAAAAATACATTTGAAATTAGGTTGGTGTTTGAAAAAAAAAATGTTATGCTTACTTTTTCCTCGCCGCAGTCTTCAGAGCAGAATTTTCGTACAGCACATGCTCTAGGCAATATTTTCGAAATTAACTTTGATTTACTTAAGGTTGTTATTATGCTGGCCATTTTCGGGAAATCTTATTTTAACATTTCATTTTTACATCAATAATTTTGAAATGACACGATAATTAAGGGTTTTGTTTATTGGTTACCTATGTTCGTTTATTTTACACTGGCTTGTTGATTTGTGTTTGTCAAATCTCAAAACAGATATGTCAAATGATAATTTTCTGTCAATTTGAATTAAAAGATTTATTTACATTACATTTGTCATTAAAAAAAGTTTTCCTCTAAGATCGTTCTTCGTTTTCCTGCTATCATGGTTTATTTAATCTTAAGTAAAGAGCTTTTTATATTTAATCTTTATATCCACTTAACTATGGTATTGTAAAGTTTATAAGTACTAGGCATAGTAAACTATATTATAATACCGAGTTTTTTTGGTGCATAAATAGGTATCTATAAAATTAACTATTGTACAATTTTTCTAGCAATATAACCTGCTATTTATATTTAAATACATAGTTTTAGACCTCTAAAAATAATGGTAAAACAGAGCAATATAAACTAATAGACAAATTTAAATACTAGATTATTGTCTAGGAATTAAATTAAAGCGTCACCCTAGTAGCAATGGAATTGGACAAGATTCTTTGTCAAGATACTTGGAGAAGCACTTTGTAAAGAATTGGACAATTCTTGACCAAGACTCTTGATCAAAATTCTTTATCCAGACTGGTGGCAGACTTGGACAAGTCTGTGACCAGAATTTGACCAGATTCTTGGCCAAGAATTTTTACACGATTACACGTTAAATAGGAACTTTCAATTCAAGATTTTTGGTCAATACAAAATTTTGTTGAACTTCAAAAGTTAAGAATGTTACTAAAAACATTAATTTTCCACGATTTCTTTCCAGTAAATTCGGTTTTTATCCATAAATCTAGTAAACAATAGAATTAAAAACGAAACAAATTTTCAAAGAGTTAAAGTTTTTAATTTTCTATGTTAAAAAAAAACCAGGTGCCCGTAAAAATAAACATGTATTTTATAATCTTTCATGTTCATAAAGAGTAAACTCTAGTTATGCGTCAGAGCTGACACACACTTTTTTTTTTAATTTTTGATTTTTAGAAATAACAATTTTTATTTTTCAAAAAATCAATTTTTTTCTCAGCTAGAAGACGAATCCAATAAGCTCTTATTCGTATTTTCACATAAACAAAAAAACTATACTCATTTCCTACAGAGAACTCACTTCACGACTAGTATACATTATTGTGAATGATACTACTGTAGAATGAGAACCTTTACTCTATAGGATAGTCCCAAAGTTTAGCAATAGATGGCCTCAGATTTCTGGTTAAATTCTTGTCAAATTCTGACCACAGTCTGGCTCAAGTCTTGCCCAATAATCTTGGCCAAGAATCTGGAACAATTATTGTACAATTCTTGAGCAAAAATCTGTCCAAAGTATCTTGACCCATGCTGGGCCAAGACTTTTCCGGAATTGCTACTAGGGCACTTTTCAATGTTCTATAAAATTCCAACAAACTGGCATAAAAACTGTATCTTTGTATATTTTGTGGCCTAAATATTGTTCCTAGATATATATGATATTGTTTAGCAAGTTTTAAAAAGCGCATTACCATAGGTCGGCCAAAGAAAAAAATCCTCCATGCACCCTGTAAGTCAATCTCACTAAAATCTCAAAGGCTAACGCCTATCTGGTTAAACGCCCGTATGGTAGGCATCATACTTTTGCCAAAGCAGGTAATTTTGAGTTGTTAAAGGCTCCCCGACGAAGTTACCTCTATAAAAGCATTTTCTACTTCTTTAGTCTCCTTAAGTTAAATTGCAGAGAAGACATGCCTAAATTAGAATTGGACAAGAACAAGGTTACATAAAATTGGTAATGATATACTTACGCATAAGAAAATGTAAATCTTAAAAAAAAATTTCATCTAAATTGTGGTGCCTCCGAGATCGGGCGCTACTGGGACTCAAAAAACAGAACTTCATATGGACGACCTAGGTGGAAAATTGGTAATGGTAATGGACTCGAAAGCATACAGAAGACCTTCCCCATGGTATTGTAAAAGTGCCCTGCGTGTATTAGAAAAAATCTACTCACTATTTTAGCATGGGGGTAGTTTTGGGGATGTTTTTAATAAAACTCTGCACCCATGGTGACGTACTTTGTCAAACTTGCTAAGCAATATTTAGGCCACAAAAATTGGATTATTTAAAGCAACCCAAAATTTAATGATGTTATTCAGAATTTGTTAAAGGGTGAGCAATCTGCTAGTTTCTTTTTGTATATTTTTAAATGATTGTTGCTTTATTCAAGAAGGTAGGGTACACTGAATATTTATAGAAAACAGTTTTGGTTAAATAGCCGAAGGGGATAGCTTGGCAGTAGTCCTTTTCACTAAGTTTTGCAGTTCATGTTTGACAGCTATTCGTCAAATGTTTTTCTTTGCGCCAATTGTTTGTGGATCGTTAAAGTAACAATGGTCCTAAAAACATCCTTCAAAAAATGAAGACCTTTATATACAAAAAATACATATATTGCATTATTTTTAGAAAATAGGACGAAATTATAATTATAATTATAATTAATAGCTATAGCTGACAAAAAATTAACCTTAATTATTTCTATCAAAATCACGTGTTGGGATTTTGATGTGTGGAGTACATGTACTGCAGTCTCTTTACTACTTTATGATTTAATTACACTGGTCAAAATGAACTTTTTGGGTGGCCAATAAATTTTCTAAATTTCCATAATTTTGCTTAATTGACGACATTGCTGCAAGAGGGATGCAGCTCCAATTTTTGCATAAATTAAGCTTGTTGGCCCATTCTAGGCTAAAAATGTTCTCTATGGTTTGGTGCAAAATCGACGCAAATCCAAATAACAGTTATGCCTAAACAAGAAAAATGCGAAATACGCCACTTGGCGATTGGATCAAGAAAGATGTAGGTCCAGAAGCTACGCCTGTCTTGCCCCAAACGAGTATCAGTGGCGGATTGTGGATTTTGGGTAGGTATATCGATATCAAAAATAGGTTGTAGTTATGGAACAGGGATCGCGTTTTAAATGCCAAAAGGGCGTACTACAGCAGTTAGATTGGGTTTTGTGCCAAAAGGGCGGATAAAAATTGTTTCATGAAGAGCCATTTAACTTAAAATCGTTCAAAACGTCAAGATCTGTAAAAAATAATTTGAATTACTAACGCCAAAAGGGCGTATCTCGAGACATAGGCCCTTTTGGCTTTAAGAATTTTTTTTGAATTTTTGTCATAATTTTTATGAAAATTTGAATATTTTTCAATTTGACTTTTTTTATTTTTTGAAAATTTAAATTTTTTTATTCGATTTTTTTGAAAATTTTAATCATATATTATTATATCACGAGAACTATGAATTTAATCGGTTAAACTAGGCTCAGTAGTTTTTTGTTTGGTTTTTGTTGGAAAATGTTGAATGCAAGATAATTTAATAAAATCACGAGACCGCGTAGCGGTCGAGGGGTTTTATTTTTAAATATTTTGCATGAAACTATTTTCGAAAAAGAAAAATCAAATAAAAAACTTACTGAGCATAGTTTGACAGATTAAATTTATAGGTTGAGTGATATACGTCTAGATTATTTCTCGAATTAAAGGAAACTATTTGACAATTCATAAAATCTGACGTATGTGTCAAAATTTATAAATATTTTTTTAAAGAAAATTCCATTAATTTAAGGTATGTAATAAGTAATAATTGATATTTCGTAAACTAGATAACTTATTTTTTATTGTTTATTAAAAAATGTTTGTTAAAACTTGTAAATAACACCATAAAATCGTAAACAAAAATCCAATATGGAGGCTAAAATTTAATCGCTGTTAAATAGTTCTAGTGATTTAATCGCTTATTTAAACGAAATTTATTCGAAAATTCAAGGCTTTTGATTGGTTCATATTATAATGAGGGAAATAATCATTTTAAAAATTTTAATTTTTTTTTGAAAATTATAATTATTTTGGAATTTTGAATAACTGTCAAAATTTGAATTTTTTTCATATCGATAAAAAATTTGATTTTCGTATGCTGACGAAAAAAATGGGTTATAACCCATTACACATTTTTGTTTAATGAGTAATGTAAGATGTTCCATTACTTATTGAAAACCTTTTAATGAGTAATGTATTGCTACACTACTCATTCAATTTTTTTTAATGGGAAATGGATTAGAATTACATTTCCATTAAAAAAAAATTAAGAATGCATTATTTTTTACCTACAAGCTCTGCGCAAGCAGAATTTAAATTGAAGTTAGCGAAAAAAAAGTTAGTTTTTTAGCGAGCCTCACCAGCCGCCTGTCACACCTAATTAAAATTAGTGTGCAATTCATAATTAACTAAATTTTATCGTCAAATTTCAAAATTTATTTAAAAAAATTAAGAATTACAGATTTCATACCATTAAATTTTTATTATTCTTTTAACTAAAATTTAAGAATATATCATCAAAAGTTACCTTTAAAAAAAATGAAATATGACAACGTAATGCTATTGGCAAGACAATACGTTCCCAAGAATGATTTACCTTTTTATGAAAATCTAACATTCTACCAAGCTGATGATAACGGTGGAGTAGAATATACTGACGATGATGAAAATGAATAAATATAATCATATTACTAAAAAATAAATGTAATAAATCTACTACTGAAAAATGTTTCTAGAATGATTTATTTTTTTATAAAAAATTGTAATAAATAAACTGAAAAATGTTTCTAGAAAGTTTTTTATTTTTTAAATTAAGTATAAATTATAAAATAAATGTAATAAATCTACTGAAAAATTTTTCTACAATGATTTTTTTTTATAATTTTATAAAAATTTTAATAAATAAACTGAAAAATGTTTCTAGAAAGTTTTTTTCGGTTTTTTTATTTTTTAAATTAAGTATAAATTATAATTTTGCTGGGGCAAGAAGGAGGTAGCTCCGGTAAACAAATCAGAATTATGTGCTTTGTGTTTAATTTTTTTGGTGTTTATTTCTCTTAAAGTAAGTAGGTAAAACTAAAAATTTCATATCCATTGAAACAAAAATTCAGTACGTTTTTTTCGTTTTTATCAGAATGTTTATTGCTTTTGGGATATTCTGGGAAAAACATTTTTTTCTACAATCATATTTAATTAATCAATTACTTTTAACTGAGGATCATTGGTAATGTGCTATTGGTCTTAATTAAACCAAATAAAGTTTTTTTCCTTTAAAAAGCTTGTTTTTAACGAAATAAAATCGTTTTTATCCAAAATTGAATAATTTACTATCTAAAAATTAATAAGTCAAAAATGACTAATTACCACAGTTATTAGTGGCCGCTTTTTCACTTAAAGCATGGTTAACCAACATTTACATCAAATTCTTATGTAAAATTTTCCCCTTCATCCGAAAATACCGTAAAAAATTAAGAAAGGAGAGCAGTTTTTGAAATATAGTCAATTCCATATTATATGGAAAATTGACTATATCTCAAAAACTGTCCTACTTTTGACATTTTCGGATTCAGGGAACAATTTTACTTGTAAATTTACAGGAATTATTAGTGGCTGCTTTTTCGCTATGACAATTAGTAATTTTTGACTATTTTATTTTTAGAGAGTATAAAACTTAAGTTAATTAATGATAAACCGATTTACCGATTTTAATTAAGTTTTATCATTTACAAACATTTTTGTTCCAGGTGCTTGTAAGACTCCTTAAATATATTCTGTGAGCAGTAATGAGTTGAAATATGTTTTTACGAGTTTTAAATCAAAAAAACAATAACAAAATGTTAAAAAAAATCACTTGCAAGTATAAAAATAGGCCCACTGTAAACTTTTGACTTTAACTTTTTAGTAACTATTGAATAGCATATTTCTTTTTTTGATCTGATGAATAGTTACTATTCATCAGATCAAAAAAAGAAATATGCTGTTTGAAAGACAATTTAATAAGCCTTAAGCTAAGCTTGAATTTATTAAAATTTATTTCGGCTGCTAAGGTGTAACAAAGAGAAATTAAAACATGAAGCAAATTAACTCTTTTTATTTCTAAAAGAAATACGGTTATTGACAATTATCATAATTAACACTTAATTTTTAATAACGGGTATGACCCCCTATTGCCCTAATAACATCTCACATACGATTGTTCGATCGGATTTAGATCGGGACTGCATGCTGGCCACTCCATAACTCAAAAACCGACTTCTCTAATGTAATCCTGCACGATTCTTGGAATAACCTTATTCCAAAATAAAACTATATGAATCAATCATAAATATATTCTATCAAAAGGACATTTTTTGATGAAATTGCAACTGACACTGAAATAGAAGATTCTCTAAGAAGATTTCAAATTAAAGTCTTCTACGAGTCTCTTGATATAATAATTTATCAACTCAGAACACGATTTATCAGTATGTACAAAGTAATGAGCTATTTTTTATTTTTAAATCCAGATGGTTTCGTTAAATTATTTACCCAAGAAATTATAGATCATGCCGAAAACTAATAGCTTCACTAGCACCAGACAGATTTTAGCGATGGTAATATTTTATACTTAAGGCAATTGTATTTGTATTATTTGTGGCTTAGACACATAGACATATTTTGTAATATAAATATATTATGTAATATATGAAATGATGTCCCATTTATAAAATAAAATGTAAGACAAGCTCAGTTTTTCTTTAAGTACGCCACAATACAGAATATTTTCCAGGTATGTAGAAAAACTTGTAAAGAATTTTTTTTTTACAATTTAGCATCTTAAAATTCCAGTATTTCCAGATTTTATTGCCCATGTATAAATGTCCTGGAAAAATTTGGCGGGGGGGGGGGCCGAATTCTTATCGCTGCCACCGAGTATACTCTCTTTTGACGTGCGATACATTCTTATGGCGCCCAATGCTCTATTTTGGCGTGCAATAATATATTTTACTTTAAAATTTATTTATCGTGAATAAATTTGTTTGGTCGCTATAGGTACATATTTATCTTTCAGGGAAATTTTACGTTAATACACCTTTTTTGTCGGGCCGATAAATTATACCCTTTTGACCAATTTTGGCTAAAAACGATTTTATTTTGTTAAAAATATTACTTTTAAGGGGAATAACTTTATAAACGTGTGTAATTTATTTTTTTAAGTTAAATTGGGATCCATAGCTACATTACCAAAGATACTCCGTTAAAGTACCTATTTGATTAACAAAATATATTTACGCATTTTAATGTTGTCATGTCAAAAAACAAGAGCAAATTACCCTCAACAAGTTTTATTTAGATTGATTCCAATATTATTCTATATTTATTTATTAGTTTTGATATAAAATATGCAGTAACTTAAATGTTATGCCTGACGTCACACGACCAAGTTATATAAAACTAGCGGCAGAAAATGGTCGGTCAGTTTAAACTTGGGTGCGGTTAATGATTTGGTTTAAGATTGTTTTATAGTTTTTTTTAATTAATTTTTATTTCTTTTACAAAATTTATGTGTCAATGAAAATTCTTCAGTTTTTGATCAACTCGAAACACCATCAAGTTGTAAGGTAAATAAAAAATATTATTTGTTATTTGTGGTGTATATTATTTTTTTATTTATATTTAACAGTGTTAATGTACTATTGTGTATTTATTAGATTGGGAAAACACCTCAGCACTAAGAAGGGCAGCCGTAGAGGAAACTCCGGAAACCGTCTGGAACTGCAAATTCTCACACATATACACCACGTACCATAGACAGTCTTTCGCTAAATTTTCATTAATCATTATAAATCATCATGGTTCAGGGTTCTTCTTACAATTCGCTTCCAAAATGTGCTGAATTCCAAAGCAACACTTCCAGGTAAATATGTACATAAATACATATATAAATTGTATAAGGATATATTATTTATTTTACAAATTAAAGAGAACATGTTTATACCCAACCTTTTTTTTTAAATATTTTATAAAAAACTAAAAAACCTTACACTTTTTACTCGCTATAGATTTTACAAATTTAGTTGTGGGTGATAAATTAAAAAAACAGATGCAATATTTTTAAAAATTTCATCATCTGTTTGTAATGAATATATTTAAATTTTAATTTTTTTATAATTAAAACAACATGTTCACACAACCAATCTTATATGTATGTAAATCACCCAGTAATTACGAGAAACAGTATTTTACTACAAAAAATGACGAATGAAAGAATACTTTTCGGTAATTAGAATTTAAGAAGAAATAATAGGTTTTTGTTAATTAAATAATCAGTATTGCCACCTGGCATGCTTTCTATTAAGTTATGAACTTATTTTTGGGAAACATTTCCTTACCCCTCTAAAACTTATTTTATTAGTTTTGCATTGCCAGTGCTATTTTGTCGAGCTATAATCCTTCTTTTAACCTTACTCCACAAGTTCGCAATTCGATTTGGATCCGGTAAACAAGAAGGCCACTCTAAAACAGTCAAACCTTCCATTTACAAACAATTTTTGGCAACTCTGCTGGTACATGGAGGTGCATTATCCTGTATAAATCACGAAAAACACCTTTTCACAGCCCTACTATCATAGTAGTACTATGGGTTGTAGAACCAAATCCACATATCTTGGATCTCTTAGGGATTGTGTGATCGTAGGCCAATTCTGTATTTATCCGAAAATAAGACATTTCACTCTCTTGTCCATTTTTAATTGAGAAATGGAATGTGTGACTGTTTTAGAGTAGCCTTCTTGTTCACCGGATCATAATCCAATTGAGAACTTAAGAAATAAGGTTAAAACAAGGATTAGAGCATGTTAAAACAACCCCTCAACGCAGAGCAACTCTAGAAGTAGTTTTAGAGGGGTGGGAAAAGTTTCACAAAAACAATTAAATACCTTAATAAAAAACATGCCTCGTCTAATTCGTGCTTGCTAAATTTATTGTACCTAAAGTTTATTCTCAGAGAAATTCACATTTTTTGTCATTTGTTCTCCAGAAAATTCACATTTTTTGTCATTTGTTCTCCAGAAAATTTGTAAACTTTTCTTTATTTTTGTAATAAAATTGGTTCAGATAAAGTATTTTTTATTTTCAAATCACTTTTTTTTAAGTGTTTCTCGTAATTACAGGGTGATTCCATATAACTTTGGTTGTGTTTAAGTAAAAATAAGGTCGTGGAACGAAAATAATAAAATATAACTTGATTTTTTTTATTTAATTTATAAATGCAATATATTTTAAATTTCCTCATTTGTTTGTTACAAATTTATTAGTATTCGAATTTTATATAAAACAAGTTTAAGTAAAAATAATTGATTGCGAGGATGCAAATCAAAAAAGAAAATATTGCGAACTATTGCAAGCTGCTGAGCTTGTTGCTAAACCGAATCGGTTTAACCGATTGGGATATTTCAATGAAAAGAACCTAAATTGTTTAGTTATTAAAATAATGTGAAAAAACAGTCTAAAAAAAAGCCACCCCTAAGGGGTGACTCTACTCCCTAAAATGTACACTCTTCACACTGTTTATATTTTTACTTGTAGGACTAGGACCATAATTATTACTTATTTAATAATTCGTCCCGATAAAAAATCGGTTAAGAAATGTCTATATCGCCAAGTTATTAATATATATAGGTTTTTATATTCTTTATTAACATTGCTTTTTTTATTATAGAAAAACAACCTATCAGGCTGTCCAAAAAAATGATCAAGAAAAAGAAAAGAAAAAGGATAATCAATATGGATCCTGGGGTTCTACATTTAAAAATAAAAACCATTTCGCCAGCATGCATCATTGTTAGATAATTTATAATGTAGTTTATTCAAGTATGTAGTCGGGGTATTGTTAGATTTTGATATATTTTATTTTTAATAAATTAGTTACTTATGAGATAAAGGGTTGAATTATTTTTTTCTTTCTTTCCACCATGTAATGATACCAAAGTTTTTCCATCAGTATAATGAAAAATCCCACGAGGAAACCTATAAAAGGATAATATTAATTGGTTTTAGATAATTATTAAGTATTTTTACCAAAAAATAAAACAAAAAAGCTGCCCTGCATGTCGTCCATGTTCACTGTATGATTGTTGACTTCTATAATATGACGGTTTTTCCAGCATTTGTCTTTTTTTGGAAGATAATCTTTTAGCCATTTATCAATTAGTCCGACTTGATGAAGCTTTTTGATTCTACAAAATTAAGTTAACAAACTTTTCCTTATAAAATCAGTATAATTAAAATTACTCGTCGTTTATAATGTTTAAATAAGGACTATCCTGAGCTACAATTAAAGCAATTTGTTCGTCTATAAACTCTTCAAGACCTAAAGTATTTAAACTAAGTATATTAATGTGTATTTATTTTATATACTAAACCTAATGCTAAATCGCATCTATCAGTTTCCAAATGTTGTTGTTTCATGATGTATTGAAGTCGAATTTTCCAGTCCAGAAACACGTGTTTGCCATTTTCAATCAATTTTAACAATTCTGGAGTTTTCTTGACTTTCAAACGCCCATCATAAATTTGCTTAAACTTTGAACCAGATTGCTAAAATTACAATCAATTAAAACAACATACTTTTATGATAAATAAATATCAGAACCTTTATCTCTTTTTCCAAAAAGCTGCCCGGAGGTAAACTCCAAGTAACTGTTTCCCTATGAGCCAAGAGCTCGGTGGTTGTAGTTATTGGTATATCTATTTTGGGAAAAGTAAGAAAAGCCACCAAATTACCGCAGTATGTGGTAGCCACGACCAAAACAACCAGCCACCACGATCCAACCAGAATTCTGGCACTGTCAGCGGAAGGTAAGTGCATACCACCTAAGAAAACATAACAATTTGTTTTAAAGTTTGATATTTTCAAGAAATTAAAACAAACTGCATTCTTAATTTTAAAATTACACTGGACAAAACATTTAGACAATCAGTTATTTTTGGAACCAGCAGAGGTTGGTTAGCAAAAACTTTTCTGTAACTTTTACAAAAGTCTTTTGTTAACTATTGTTATTTATATTATTCATTATTCTAAGAAAAAAGAAATAATACTAAAAATACACGTTTGGTGAATAGTTTAAACAAAACCAGTTTTATATACTGGTATAATCTAGAAGCAATGCTTTTTTCTATTTGGTGCATAATTATTATAATACTCGTACTTAATCGTAATAAAGAAAAATAAAAATAAACGTTTACATCTATTCTTGTCTTTAATTTTGTGAAGGTACTTAAATTAAGGCCGTTAAATACTAAACTAAATATTTTTTTAGGTTAATTAAATTTACTAAATTAATTTTTTTTATAAAGAAAATATTGATTTTTATTTGATTATTTTAATAAAAAAAATTTCGTTGTTATTTTTTGAATGGCAAAATCTTTAATTTACTAACAAAATTATTTAAAGCAAGTTTAAAACCATTTTTAGATAAATAAGATAATACACAAGTATACTGTATACTATATAGGGTATTAAAGATATAATCATTTAAGAAAAACCTCGAAAAAAAGTATATTTTTTTCGACTTTGCTTTGATTTCATGTTTTTAATTTTATTTATTTTAAATAGAAATTTAAAATTAAAAAGGTGCTAATTTAAAGAGATTAGGAATGGTATTTTGAAAATGTCCACCCTTCACCTCTATACAAAGAGTTCCCGGACATTGTGAAGATAATCGGGTGTAATTTGTTGGCATTCATTAGTGATGCGGTTCCGTAAATCTTCTAAGGATTCAGGCTAGGTGGCATACATTTTGGATTTTAACACAAAAAGATATCAAGGGGAGATAAATCCGGTGATCTCGCGGGCCACTCGATAGCACAAATTCTCCCAATCCATCTACCAGGAGACGTTGCATCCAGAAACTGCCGCACAGGTAATGCAAAATGGGGAGGAGCCCTTTGCTGAAATATCGGATTTTCTTTATGGTAACGTTGGTCGATCAGCGCTGGGTTGACGGCATTCTCCAACAAGTCTAAGAAGTAGCTCCATTTAAATTTCCTTGTAAGAAAAATGGTTCAATTATATGATCACCAAAAATACCAGCCCAAACGTTTAATTTCTGAAGATGTTGAGTATGAACATCATGGAAGATCCTTGGATCCGTGTCGGACCAAAAACGACAATTATGACTATTGACAATGAAAATTAATTGGCAATAATGCAATTTAAAAAAATTAACATTCGCCTGAGAAGCAAATATTAAAAAGGTAGTTGCGAGTATTTATTATTATTTCAGACATTACTTTACAAAATTGTAAACGGCGGTCATTATCATCTTCATGCATTTCTGTTGAATTTTATAGGGGTGCTTATGTCAGTCATTTTGACGGTTATTGCGACTAATTTACACTAGGACAAAAAGGTAACCCTTCTAGACTGGCCTGTAAACTCACCGGACATTAATCCTATTGAGAATATGTGGGCTATATGCAAGGACAGGTTGCTAAAAATGAATTCTACAACAAAAACTAAGATGATTGAGGCTGTCATTCAGGTATAGTTTCGAGATGACAAAATAAAGGAAAATTGTAAAACATTGGTTAATTCTATGCCAAAACGAGTTAAAGCTTTAATAAAAGCCAATAGGGGGACTTATTTCCTAATAAATAATACTAAAATATTATAAAGTTTTAATATTTAACGTAAATCTATTTGTGTTCACATTAATTCGCACAATAATGTACTTAATGTAGGGCCCAAACCCAGAACAGCAACTTCTACTGCCTTATTTATGGGTGACGTTCACAATATCGAAATTCATTATATCGAATTCAAAATATCGAACACTTTTTATCGAAAATCAAAATATCGAAAATACAAAATGTCGAAAATCAAAATATCGAAAATTAAAATGTCGAAAATGATAATATCGAAAATTAAAATGTCGATTTGAAAATGTCGAATAATTAAAATTTCGAAAATTAAAATGTCGAAAATGATAATATCGAAAATTAAAATGTCGATTTGAAAATGTCGAATAATTAAAATTTCGAAAATTAAAATATCGATTTAAAAATATCGAAAATTAAAATGTATGATTAAAATCGAAGTGTATATGTACAGAGGCGCCTCTGTAGATAAAGTTACGGTTATGCACCGAATTATCTTGGCTCCCTGGCTCCTAGAGATGCGCGTTTTATAGAAATGTACTCAAACTCAACAACACAACCCAACCGACCCCGCCCCATTGGCCCCCCCCCGCCCCATTGAGCAAAAAACCCAACTAAAATGGGCAAATTCATGTTACGATAAAAATAAAACACTTTTTAATTACATAAATTAGCCCATTTTAGTTGGGTTTTTTGCTCAATGGGGCGGGGGGGGGGGCCAATGGGGGGGGTCGGTTGGGTTGTGTTGTTGAGTTTGAGTACATTTCTATATCAGAGGCGCCTCTGTACATATACACTTCGGATTAAAATAATATGTCGATTAATTGAAATATTTAAACAAAATATCAAATTCAAAATAAGAAAATATTTCGACATTTTGTATTTTCGACATTTTGTATTTTCGATATTTTGATTTTCGATAAAAAGTGTTCGATATTTTGAATTCGATAAAGTGAATTTCGATATTATGAACGTCGATATTTTATTTTCGATAAATTGAAAATTCGATTAAATAAAATTTCGATATTATCATTTTCGACATTTTAATTTTCGATATTTTGATTTTCGACATTTTGTATTTTCGATATTTTGATTTTCGATAAAAAGTGTTCGATATTTTGAATTCGATAAAGTGAATTTCGATATTATGAACGTCACCCCTTATTTATCACCGTATTTTCAATATCTCATTTTTTATTTGCCACTGAACCAGTTTGCCGAAATTTTGCTACTAATTCTAGGATGTAACCATGATGTACGTGTCTATTGGCATGCCTCTCATTAAACAAAGTTGCCGCTACTCTTGCACATTGATTGTTTATAAAATTCAAACAATAATTTCCACTTTCTTCGTAATAGAATAAACCATTTTTTATCGAATCGAAAGAAAATAAAAGCACAGAAATAACGAACTATCCACATCAACTACTTTATTGAAGATAAAGATTTGTCGCTAATATTTGTTAGTTTAAAAACTATTTTCAACAAATTTTTTGCTTAACAAAATTTGTAAATAAGCGGTCCAGTAAAATGTTTAGAATTCCATTGCTCGGCGACGCGTAGTTCAAATTTTTGACCTTTAAAAAAATGTATCACAACATATCCAAATACCGCTAAGGGGTTAATTAATGTGTAAATATGTCCCCCCGAAAACAAAAGTATACGTGTCCGAAGATTTTTTTTATTTTCACATACAATGCGGTAACCCTGCTGGATTGTTTTTGATGGTCCACCCTGTATATTATATTATATAGATTATATGCTTGACGCTCGATAGCAACAGTTGCTGTTGTTATAATCAAAACAAACACAAATTTAATAATCGAAGCGCGCGCACAGTTTTTCAGTTGACGACGGTAAAATTTATATCATTTACCAGTAAAGATATCTACAAAAACAATAAAAAATCAGGGTAATGACAATAAAAAAAGGAAATTTTTCCCCGCCGTCGCAGGTACAAGTCAGGTCCAGTCAGTAATTTGACTATCCTTTTTTTCATTTTTATAAATGACTCGTTTAATTTACGGTACCTATTTACCTAATATCCTGTATATTTTTAAAGCGCACAATTTATAAAATACATGCCTTGTTGCAATAGAGCCCCATACATATACCAAATGCAATTTTCAATTGAAGACAGACCACCTCTTTTCGGCAAACCTTTATATTCATAAACTGGACTACATCGATGAATATAATATAAAATTGGACCCACAAAGACTATAGCTGCCGATAAACATAACCAAGTCTAAAACAAAGGTATAAAAAGGTTATTTTATCGTATACAAGGTGTCCCGTATCGTTATGTTCAAATTTTGAGAGCATAAAGTAGACTTATTTTCAGGAAGAAAACCCGCAAAACTTGTATATCAATTTTTATTTGTTTCAAAGTTACAGGCCTTTGAATTATTGGCAAATAATTATGCAAGTTTTTCCTTGTAAATGTAGCTTCATCTGTCCAGAGGACTGTTCTGCAGAAATTAAAATTAAGCCGTGACTGTCGCCACCACATTTCGGAATTGCTGTGCGAAATTGGGTTACTGTCAACTATCCAAGATGGATTGGTCAAGGTGGTCTTGTTGACTGGCCACCTAGATCACCCGATCACAATTCCCTTGATTTTTATTTATGAGGATACATGAAAGATTTAAACTACGCCCAAGTTTAAAATACAAGAGAATAATTATTGGAACGTATTCAGCAGGCTGCCAAACAATTACGACAAAACAAGCACCAAATACGGATAACTATAGTTATCCGTATAAATATCCGCTATAAATATATTTTATCTGTTGGCTTACGGGCACAAGCCTGCATTCAACAAGGAGGTGGACATTTTAAAAATAATATTAATTGACCTTTTCTTAAAATAAAATAATTTTTTATTTACTTTAAGAATGAATTATGATTATTAATTATTTACCAATAATTCAAAGGCCTGTAACTTTGAAACAAATAAAAATGGATATACAAGTTTTGCGGGTTTTCTTCCTAAAAATAAGTCTACTTTGTGCTCCCAAAATTTGAACATAATGATACGGGACACTAGTGGTAAAATTTTTGATTTTTATACTAATGTTTTTTTCTTGTAATTTTCGCAAGTGACATTAATTTTTAAGACCACGAGCCGCTAGGAGAGTGGTTTTAAGTTAATGCCACGAGCGAAATTTACAAGGAAAAATCTTGAGTAAATAAAATTCAAAATTTTTTTAGGGAAAACTTTATCACGAGTGGTATTCGGCAAGATGCTAATGCTTTTTGACCAAAACAATTATTTTTAGCATAGCAACCAATTGGTTGCCATGCAACTCGTATGAACGAGTGGTTTTTTCGTAAGTAATAAGGGCATCTAATTTTTTCGAAAAAAATCGAAAAAACACGTTGCTAAGTAATATTTTAACAAGAAGCATGAGTGCTGGGGGCAACAAATTTTTTAACATTTTTATTTTTAAATAAGAAACGTCAACATTGACAAATATTTTTTGCATTGCAACCAATTGGTTTTTTCCCCTAAAGTGTAGTTTTATCGCTTAGCTGCAAAACTGAAAAACCCACTCGTTTTCTGAAATTTGATTGGTCCATAAAGTAATGAGTGAAATAGTCGCTGCAAAACTGAAAAAAACACTCGTTTTCTGAAATCTGATTGGTTCATAAAGTAATGAGTACCGATAAAATTTTTGATTTTTATACAAATGTTTTTTTCTTGGAAATTTCGCAAGTGGCATTAATTAACGCCACGAGCGAAATTTCCAATAAAAACCCTTAAGGAAATAAAAATAAAAAAAATTCAGGAAAATGTTATCATGGTGGTATTCGGCAAGACTATTTCACGAATATTTTTTTTTAATTAAAATTAATTTCCGATTCAATTCTGTATGATTTTTTGACCAAAACGCATATTTTTTTACATTATTATTTTAAAATTAGAAGCGTTAACATTGACAATTATTTTTCGCATAGCAACCAATTCGTTGCTCGTATAAACGAGTATTTTTTTTACCTAAATAGTAGTTTTATCACTGCAAAACTGAAAAAAAAACACTCGTTTTCTGAAATCTGATTGGTCCATAAAGTTATTAGTGGAATAGTCAATATAATTTTTTTTCATTTATCAAAAAAATAATAAAACTAATAAAAACAAAAACGTGTCATAAGTAAGGTTTCAAATTATTATAAAATTAACTAGGTAATTAAATATATTCGTTAAAACAGTTGGTCTTCAATATCATCTTTAATATTTTTTAATCAAAGTGTCTACTTTATTTCTAATAATTTACATACTGGTTTAAATTGTTTTTCTCAATTCAAGATATTTAGCATTAATATTAATAAATTTGCATAAAATGTAGAAATAATGCATAAAATATAAATACATTAGTTAGGAATTTTCCTTAAGATTTTTTCCTGTATATGTGTTAAGGATAAATTTATAATTTTTCTTAGAAACCATGTTATACGTGCCTACATCGCAGTAGACAAGTTTTCTGCAGTTTATCTGGTTTATACTTACATGAATAAATGTTTTTAGTTTTGATTAATATTATTTCATAAAATATTTGGTTTGTTTACAAAAGAAACTGTTATTATATTTGGATTATTTTATGACACAGTGTTTTTTTAAACTTGAAAACCACTAATTTTTCTACACTCTGACAAAGTGATTCTGTATAAAATACTGGGTTCTTAGTAGTATCTGGGATTGGTAATAATTTTTAAAACTTAATAAATACCCTGTAGCCATACTTACATCCCCAGTAAAAGGCGAAATAAACAGCAAAGCCCTGCTTAATTCCCTGGGTCGCGCCACCAAAAACGTATAGGTCTGCGTAGTAATAGGAATAGTAAAATTAATAAAATTCTTACTCTCTTCAGTTATAGTAAACGCACAGGCCCCCAAAGCAATCGTTTTATTTTGAATTAAACTGTAAAAAACTGACGGTATTTCGTTGGTTAAAGTTTCTGAAATAGCATAATCGGTCACGTTTGTGAAGGTTTCTTTTTTAAAAGTCGACTTTGCTATTTCTACTGTGTAAGTGAAGTTTAAGTTGTTCGCCAATTCTTTGATTATGTCAAACACCAAGCCTTTATATTCCACGATGTGTCCGGATTCGTTGGTTCTTATTATTTGCCAAGGGGGGTTCTAGAAAATATAATTTTTTAATAGTTGTAAAAATGGCGAATGCGCCGGGGTTAATTAATTAATTTACATGGAATGTTAGTACGGGAAGTGTTTTGCCTCTAAAACCCTGAGTTATGTGAGGAAATAATTCATCTGTTATTGTGGGTCCATCACTAGGTCTCCAAGTACCCACTGATAAAATATCAGCTGTTGATTCAGACGTATTATTTTGAGAATATTCTTTGCCCCAGGTTTCTCCGGTTTGAAATTTCCATTTAGTACAGTTTCCACAAATCCCGTTTTGCAAAAGATCAGTCTAAAATATTGTTGATATATTTGGAATAAAAAAAAAATATGACGTTTATACTATTTTTACAAATACAAATATTTAAATTTAAAACTAGAAGCATCCGGATGATAACAGGAAATATAAATAGTACTTCCTTGTTTACGAATACAAATGTTAATTTATGAATAAATTTTCTTTGATTTGTAAATTTAATGAATAATATTGACACCTACCTTCATTTTATTTAATAACCAATTCCTTCTTTCAGCTTTGCTAGGGCGAATTGCGTTCCATTCTTCATCTGAAACCTGGCTTGCTACTTCAAACTCATCCACTATAGCTTCATCTAGCGCCTTACTAAAGGAAGTAACAATTTCTTGCGAATGGCAAACTATTCCACTCTTAAAAATATGTAATAATTCTTATAAGAAAATATATTTAAGAAAGTTTGTTAGGAATCAAGTGCGAATCTGGATCTAATGATATTCAAGTTGCAACTTGAATATCATTATATACATCTCCTATTTTCGGGGTTCCCCCATGTGGGACCCCGAAAATAGGAAATATATATCCTTCCATGCTCTAGAGCAATACTGTAAATTTCCTGGTTTAGTAAAACAACAGTTTTATGCATTTCTTTTTAAAAAGCAAGAATAATTGGTTTTTAATCTCGATCATTCTGAAAACCGAGATTTAGATTGTTTATTTAGAATAGGTTTTTTTACATTGTATGCAATTACTTACGGTGCACTTATTATGAATTGTAGTGTAATTATACACAAAAGCAACGTTATCGCCTTCTTTAAGCAACCTTTTAAACCTCATAATATTATGCGTTTTAAAATTGGTGTCGGTAATAACATACAGCCACTGACTCTTGGTGTGGACTAACTTAAACAATTTAGCATATTCCATTACAGTTTCTACGAATTCGTATTTAACAATAATCATAAAGTTTCGTCCCATGGTGTTTGTACGAATCGAGTGCAGTATTTCCTTTAGATTGTCCCGCATCTCGTTAAAGCTCGAGTTTGATTTGAGTTTCATAAGAGATACGCTTGCTGCTTGGGTTTCTATATGTGTCGTGTGTGATATGCAGCCTATTATTCGGGTTGTCATATCTCTGCCTGAAAGAATGGTATTTTAATATATATTTCAAAACGCATTCCATCTGAATTCAAATTTTGTGGATTATAACCTTCGGTTTTAATATTTTTCTTAAATATATTATTATTAAAATTTATCAAAAACTTTTTAAAAGATGTGGTTATCAAAACTAAATTGAACATATTTTCTAAAAAATTATAATATAAGTATTCATACTGGGTGTCCTACTCTACCTTACAACGCTAAAATACAGTAACTAGTGCTGGACCAGTAACTACTGGTATGGACGGCAGTGGCGGCTCGTGACCATTCATGAAGGTGAGGCCCATGAGCCGCTATATGGCACCGCAGGCAATTTTTTTTTTGAAATTTTCAGTCTTGCGTTTTTGGAGCAGAATATAAATAATAAAAATATATTATTTAAAAATATGTTCTTTCACGAGAAGAATTTAGCTAGAATAACACAAAAAGTGCGGGACGAGGTGGGATTTTTATTTATTCCTTCAGCAGGTTTCCACATTACCCAGGAGGTACTGCTCATTTTTACCTATCTTACAATAATTATTTTTAGATTAATAAAGGCACAACCGCACAACAACAAAATAATAATGTACAAGCACAGTAGGTACATGAAACTCAACGATTTATAACACTAAACTATAAAAAAACATGAATATTTTTTATTATTTTTTGTGATTTTTACTGTGGTATTTGTGTGTTAATATAATAGAATATTAAATTAAAAATGATGTTTTATAATTAATTGAATTATTTTTACATGAATTCACAACACAATAATGTATTTTACGCTTGCATTTTTATCACCACTTTCCATTTTAACGCAAGGCAAAGACTAAACAGAAATAAGAAACTATAAACACGCATAGATCTAATTAATAAGCTTTGTTTACTATAACATTCCCCGCCCAGTCTTTTACAACGGCTGATAAGCGAGCAGCACAGATCTCGGGACTGACTCTGCTGTCTTCCATATACTGTGGTACAAGTCCAATTTTGTGGGCCTCAATGTTTACAAAAAATCTCGGTGGGGAGCATCACTCTCTAAAAATGAAATAGTCAAAATTCTACTATTTGAATTGGTACCAGCATTTTTTACTAATAAAATAGTCGTTTTCACTTTTAAATAGTTATTTTTTACTACGTAAATAGTTAAAGTTTGACTAAATTACAATTAGTCACCATCTTTGACTATTTCTGAGAGTTAAAAGTAACTAATTTCTTTAATCGTTTGCGGCCAACAACAAAGTATTATTTGAATTAAATGCATATACCTAAGCTCCATGGTTAAATGACCCATAAAAACAAATAAAGATGCAAAAAGTTTAGCTCAAAACAGCAACACAAATAATATATTCAACTTTAAAATATTATGAACAATATATTTTTATAAGAGCGGCTGACAGCCGAATGGGTTATGACAATAGCTTGACAAGCTTGACAAGTGACAGACCTGAGTTAAATCCCCGGCTGGATCAAAACTTTTTTTAAATTTAAATCTACTAATTTGACTATTTCATTTAGTAGAATTTGACTAATTATTAGTGACTGCTTTTTCGCTATGACAATTTGTCAAATATGACTTATAATTAGTTATTTTTGACTAATTCATTTTAAGAGAGCATGTTGTATCGGCAATGTGTGACGTATATGAAGTGCAAATTTATGGGATTACTATTTCCCTATTATGCGGTAGGGCAATGATTTAAGCGTTTAGAATTAAAGTTGGAAGGGGTGCGCGCTAAATTTAAAAGAAATATTTTAAACTTTAATAATGGTTATTCTATGTTTTGATACTTTTAATGACTGGAAATTAATATATTTAAATATATATATATATATATATATATTTAAAGTAATGTATCGAAAATTTCCAATTATATTATAATTTTAACATGTGAGGCCCGGCCTCAGTTGCTTTATACGACGAGCCGCCACTGATGGACGGTAAAGGGACGGGCGGGAACCAAGTGAGTAAAGCTATCCTTTTATGTATTTATGTATTCTAAAAAAAACCTGAACACATTTTAAAACCATTGCCATAACCTCGTTATTCCTAGAAATTTTGAAAAAACTAAGTTATACATTAATCTACATTTTTATCCAATTTTTTCGCTACATTTTGATTTACCATCAACATCTTTTGTTTTAATAATAGCCATGGCGGCATATGGCATATGGAAACTTATGTAGTTTGAAACCATCGTTGGATTACTTGATTTTTTTCCATCTAAAAAGTAAAATTCTGATATGGCGGCCATAGGAAAAACAAAATCTAGTACCTAGGCGAATTTTTGGTTTTGGTCATTTCAGAACCGCTAATATTTTTCCAATTTTTGAATGCCATTTAAATGGACTTGTAATTACGCTCTTTAAATAAAAAAATAAAAGAACACTTTGTGAACCCCTATGCTCTGTGTAATTCACCCTCGATATTGTGCCATTTTGCCTAGACAAAAAGATCAGAAATCAGAAAACCAGAAATTCGTCATTTTAGCATGCTTCAAAGGGCAGCAAAAGTCGAATTTTCGCTGCGCGTCTCATGAAAAATGTGTTTTTAATTGTGAGACAGAAAGTGTCCATTTTTTAATATTATATTTGAAGACAAAATTTACCAAAAAAATGTATCGACAAAATCTTTGATCATACATATATCAAACAAAGTGAATTCAAATAAAATGCGTTTAACCCACAGACCTACAAACAGGTCTGTGGTTTAACCAATATTTGATGTTTGTTACTTATGGAATCATCATAAATAATTATAGACGATTTCCATTTGTAAATTTTAGATGTTCTTAAATCTAAAAGTATTTGCGGCATTTCTTCACCAGTTTTTATTATTGGAATTGTTATCGCTTCAACTGCCGGTAATCTTGGACAATCCGCCTCTAAATAAAAATATTTTGTTTAAAAATTTAAAACTGTTTATTTAATGAAAATACCTGAAATGGCGATGTGGAGTAAATTTTCTTCTGCTGCCGATTTAAATAATCTCCAAGTTTCACTGCAAGGTGCAATACTAATAATTGCTGTTAAATCTAAAATTAAAAATATCTTTATACAGTTTTTAAATACTTTCCATTGTCAAATTGTAACAATCTAAATAAATAGAAATTTATTTCAATTTTAATTAAAATTTAGATTTTGTGACGTATTTATACATTTCACTTAAAATAATAAATAAAAAATATATAAATATACAATTTTATAGACTTAAATAAATTTTAATTACAAAACAATTTTATGCGTTTTGTTGGCGTTGGCGCAACGATGTAGTTCGGTTACATTTGGTTACTTTCCTTCACTAATTTTGGGTAAATTATATAATATTTAACATTCGGTTTTAAAATCAGTGTACAAAAAAATCTATAGAACATTTAATTTAGTATATTCATTTTACCAATTCCCTAGAACACAACAAATGCACAACAAACATGGTTTTAGTCAATCAGAGATAAAAGACCTGGCTTCGAAAGTTTTATCGCCAATTGACCAATAGCTTTCTGTGCACGTAGCTATCACGCGAATAAACAAACAATTCTGCAGAATTGGTAAAATATTCATGCAATAGTTATTTAAACCATGTAAGCTGCCCAGTAAGCACAAGCTGGCTGTCCCGCATACGGCCCGAATACGTTTTGCCGAATCGGCCGCGTGCGGCCCGACACACATATTTCTTCCAGCGTGTAGAACCGGCATGTCCGCCTGGCCAACTGTCGGGCATATCCGCCTGGCCGAATGTCGGCTATGTTTACTCGGCCGAGTGTCGGGTTTGTATAGTTAGCCGAGAGCCGGCCACAACCGCCTGGCCATTTAAAAAAAGCCTACAGACGTCCTGGGGGGCGATTCTCGAGTTGAGAGAACGCTATTCTCATGAGAAGTGGGCGTGTTTCACTTGTTTTGACAGGCTGCATTCTTAAAATCATGCAACAGTTTGGTTCTCCTAAAGCAGAAAATAGTTTCCGAGAGAAAAACGCACTAACTTATCTTAAATTCAATAATGCAGTCTGTCAAAACTTGAGAGAAACGCCCACTTCTCCTATAAGAATAGCGTTCTCTTAACTCGAGAATTGCCACCTTGGAGAGGTATATCCTATAAGTTCAGACCTGAAATTATCTGAATGGCAAGATACTTCTTTAACACACTCGACTAGCTAGACATTAGGGGCCGTTCATTAATTACGTGAGACAATTTTGGCGATTTTTCGACCCCCCCCCCCCTTGGTGAGATGTCGTGAGATTTTGCTCGACCCCCTCTCCCCCCCTTAATCTCACGTGAGATTTTTTAAAATGCATGGTTTTAATGTAAATAAGTTAATTTGTGCTTGATTCCATTAGATTTATTAAAAAAAACAATTTGCTTATAATTGTTTACTTAATTTAACCCAGTTTTCTCGCAATTTTACACTCTTTCTTTCGGAAAAAAAATTACGTGATATTTGCCGAGAGCCCCCCTCTCCCCCACGTGAGATTTGGTGAGGTTTGGCTCGACCCCCTCCCCCCCCCTAAACACCTCACGTAATTAATGAACGGCCCCTTATTCGTTACTGAGCAGTTGGGGATGGAGACTCCAAACAATTATTAATGTTCAGCTATGTCATTACGGACGCACACTTCCAACTAAATATTGCAACCAATCGCTATTTATAGTTAGCTCACGTGCGTAAGCAGCCGTGAGATGTATCGCTTATGCAGTGGCAGGCCGTATTCCAGCCGTAAGCGGTAACAGCCGGTAACATAACGCGGGCCGTAAGCGGGCCGGCTGGGGCAAACCGAACGGCCGGTCAACCGCCTATGCCGAGCGAAGGCCGACTGTTTGCCGAGTGTTTGGTGCTTACTGGGTGGATACTTTTTAATATTTTTTTAATTAAATCAATAATTATCGATATATCATTATAGTCGCCTTTTCCCAATTGAAAACCCGATTTAAAGTTGATTTGTACCATGGTACAAATTACCGTGAAATCGGCCAATCACTAACAATGAGAACTGTTAGGCAATGCGCTTATAATGGTTATCATTATACAGCTGTTTAAGTAAAAAAGATACCCATGTAAAAGTATCCTTTTACATGGGTATCTTTTTTACTTAAAGAGTTACAAGGTCGGTTATAATAGAAAAAAGTTGTCTGATTATAAGTCTATTAAAATTGCATTTAAAAATTGAAATTAAATCTGCCGTTTCCAAATAATTTGAAACAAACTGAAAGCATGTCAAAACAAAAAATCCATATAACTTCTTTAATCCTGAGAATTACAAAAAAAATATATGTAAAACTTACATTTTTTTAAATTCCCAGCAATAACGAAGTTATAACGATTTTTGGTTTTCAAAGGTTTAAGATTTTTTCAATATTTTGAGAACCGTTGACTTTTATTTCAATTCATAAATTTTATTTCAATAGTCTTGTAATTACGCAACATTTGTCTAATTTAACCGACCTTGTAGCTCTTTAACTAAAACAATGCCCATAAAAGATTTTACTGTACGAGGTGTGTTCAGAAAATAACGGGAATTTTTAAATTTCGCGGGTTCGAAGAGTCCGGCTGCCATAAAATTTTCTTTATTATGTTGGTATACATGTTCCTGAAGTATGATAAAAACTTTAGCAGTTTTTATTGTTTACTTTGTCTGTGGCAGCCGCTAACGTTAGAAGTGTTTTTATAAGCTCGGCGATTTTTGTTCATTAAAAGAAATGGATCAAAGAATTTGTATAAAATTTTGCGTAAAAAATGAAATATTGTGTAACAAAGTGTGTGAAATGTTAACAAAGGCCTATGGTGAGTCTTCTATGAGTAAACCAAGAGTTTACGAGTAGTATAAGCGTTTCCAAGATGGCCGTGAAGACGTTGAAGATGACGAACGCCCCGGACGCCCAAGCACATCAACAACCGATAATAACGTGGAAAAAGTGGAAAAAATGGTTATGAACGATCGCCGAATCACAATCAGAAAAGTTGCTGATGTTTTTGGCATATCGATTGGCTCATGCCATGAAATTTTTTCTAGTGATTTGGGTATGAAACGCTTGGCAGCAAAATTTGTTCCAAAATTGTTGAATTTTAGACAAAAACAGCGGCGAATGGAAGTTGCTCAGAAGTCACTAAATGAAGTCAACGACGATGCAGAATTACTGAAACGTATTATAACAGGTGACGAAACATGGGTTTACGGATATGACGTCGAAACTAAGGCTCAATCGTCCCAGTGGAGGCATTCTGGCTCGCCAAGACCGAAAAAGGCTCGACAAGTGCGGTCTAACGTGAAGGTTATGCTCACTCTGTTCTTCGATTTTAATGGCATAGTGCATCATGAATTCTTGCCACGAGGTCAAACAGTCAATAAGGAGTACTACCTACAAGTTCAACGCCGTTTGCGTGAAGCAATTCGAAAAAAACGCCTGGATTTGTGAAAAAACAATTCATGGCTTTTGCACCACGATAATGCACCTGCTCACACTTCATTGCTTGTTCGTGAAGTTTTGGCTAAAAACAATACTGTAATGATGCCCCAGCCTTCAATTCGCCAGACATGGCTCCGTGTGACTTTTTCCTATTCCCAAAAATAAAGAGAACCTTAAAGGGCCGTCGTTTTGCAACCATAGATGACATCGCTGAACGAACTAAAGGCTATCCCAAATAACGAGTTTGAGAAGTGTTTCGAGGATTGGAAGAAGCGCTGGCACAAGTGCATAATATCCAATGGGGACTATTATGTAGACGAATAAATAATTTTTTTTTTCAAAAAACGAAAATTCCCGTTATTTTATGAACACACCTCGTATATACTTTATATTATACACATAAAAAAATACTTGGTGCACTCTGTAAACTGAGAGAAACAATATTAGCGATAGGAGTAGTTTTTAAAATAGTTTGTAATTTTGGAAAATGCGCCGGGGATAAAAATTTGTAATTAAAATTTTATTATTTATTTCTCCAATACTGATTTTTTTAAATTTTGTTTTAAATTGCATAACCCATCAATTAACTATGACGGTACAGTTGCAACGGATATATGAAACGATTTTAAACGCTCTTAAGTACCAGGAGAGAATAAAGTCGCAGAGGTTATATCACTTATTTTGCTGTACCTTGGGATATCAAAAATATGTTTTAAACCGTTTTAATTAAGTATTAAAAAAGTAATTTAAAGTGATTAATAAAAACTGCCCTTACATGCACACATTTAAAAAATGGTCGGACACATTCGAACTGTAGTTTAAAATAAAAAAAATGGTAGAAAAAATTCGTATACATTTAAAAATAGTAGGAAAAATATGCACAGTAGGATAAATTAAAAGAATGGTAGGATAAATCGCATAGTTGTTTAAAATTAAAAAATAGTGGAAAAAAATGTTAAAAGTGGCATTATCAAAATTTTTAAAAGTATGTTATTATTGTTTTTAATCAAACCTATTTTATAATATTATCTTTTATCGATCATTGTATCGTTTTCCCACTTACATAAATTATTTGCATGCCGAATACATTTTTTTTGCAACGCGGCAAAGAAGTATAATCTCTATCACATATACTTTTTTCTGCAAATCGGACATTCCTAGATAACGGAGGTTTCGATAGTACCAGAAAATAGCCTTTTATTTAGAAAAAATATCATAAAAAAAGTTTCGCATGTAAGTAGCTACACATTGGATATAAATTTTATAAGAAAATAATGAATCCCTCTTGAGATATCGGTAACTAAACAAGGTAAATTGTTATTCAAAAGTTCTGCAATTTGTAAGTTATTTCCTTTTAAATAAACTTATTGGATGTGCAATGTAGAATGATTTTTTAATGTGTAAAAATTTAGCACAAATTTATTAATAAAGAATAATTCTTAAGTAATATGCTTTTTATATATTTGTTGCCTAAAATTAAGAAATTAGAAAGGCGATTTTTACAATTACATGTATGTGCGTGATGAGAACAACTAATGTAACCATCGCAAAAAAAAATTAAATGCATAACTTTAATAACATGGATTTATTTTTATAAAAAAAATTAAATGCATAACTTTAATAACATGGATTTATTTTTATAAATCTATGGACCTCAAACCTAAATAAAACCTTAATATTTAAAAACTATTAATAAGTAAAGGCTACATTGTAGCCGCTACAACTAACTTACTAAAATTGCAAAGATTAAATTTACTGAAAAACAATAAGAATCAGTTATTTTTCATGTAACTAACTACATGTTACAATATGCTTGTAAACATGTTTATTATAATATAATCTTTATTATATTATAATGTGCTAAATATTAATACTTAGTTTATATACAGTACAAGTTTGGTACGTAACACAATGTTTATGTGTAGTTTATATAATATTAATAAACTAAGTATTAATATTTAGCACATTAATTTACCAAAATATGTTAAACATTTAATGATTTTACCTCTTTTAACATTAATTGCAGTCCACGAATAAAATACAACATTAACACCGCCATGCTTCAAAATTTCTCGTTTTACGTAAACCAAAGCGGATTCGTACGCTTCTTTTATTTTCTCATATTCTTCTGCTAAATAATCCCTATCCAAAACAACAGCTTCAAAATACAAAAACATTAAATTATTATTATTGTCTTTTTAAAACAATTAATTATTATTATTGTCTTTTTAAAACAATTATTATTATTGTCTTTTTAAAACAATCCTTTTTACCTATTGTTGCATTTGTTGTAATGAGCGATGGGAAATTATCCGACCTACTTCTTACGCAAAAATACAGAATAAAAACTACACACACTTTGAAAAGCATCTTACAAATAACTTAATCCGCTTGAAAAAGTCATATTTATAAACCGGATCATAAAAATCCAATTTAATATCCATTTTAAATGTAATATCATTTCGATTTAATAATATTGTAGTGTGCGGTTGCAGGTGGTCGAATTAACTG